CCTGCGGGCTGCTTGTGTGTCCGCGCCACCCGGCTTGGGACGCTGCTCAGCTTGGGATTGGTGTGTGTGGTCGTGCACCGGCAGCGACGTAAGTTCCGTCACCTTTTTTTTTTTTTTTTTTTTACAAAAAAAAGCACTGCTCACATGCAAATACACATTTTCATGCAGTTTCTCCCTGGCCTGGAAAAGGAAGGTAATCTGTAGGCCAACAAAGAAGAACCATGTTTGCACTCTTGCGGTATAGCCCGAAGACAAGTCAGGGGCCTGAGTGATGATTATGCTACACGTTCCTTCTTTAGCTAAACTTACACAGCGCTTCAAACCTACAGTCATATAGCTATCACAAAATGTGGGTACAATTACACTGAGGCACCGCCCTGTCTGAAAACACCAAAAATCAATTCCTCTGTGTTCCATTCTTCAGGTTATTTATCTTCAGGAGGAGGAATTTAAAGCCTGCTCGGTGATGAAGGGTGAAAGACTGAATGATAATAAAATTAGAATAATACCATGAAGAATGTTTTGTGTCTAGCCTTTTGCCAAGATAGGAAATGATGGCTATAAATAACGCAAGTCTGTCCTGCGCTGGATGCAAGCAGGTCGTCTTCCATTGAGTGCTGAAAGATGCTCTCCAGAGAACAATCTTCAGCAATTTGCTGTCCAGCAAATACATCGGACATTGGCAGCAGCATCTGTTGCCCTCATGGCCAGTGGTCCTGTATGCTCTTTCTCTCCATGCGGGTGGATAAACATATACTAGCCAGGGAAATCTTACTGTGAGGCCTGAACCCCAGAGTTCCAAACAAGCCAGGTTTTGTAAGCCAAGCAACCGTACATTAAAGCTAGCTTGATTCCAGCCACCGTTCTGTACAGTTGAGTGAACTGTATGCTACAGCACCTGTATCCATGTAGCTTTGACATTTTATGGGAAGAAAGCCCAAACCGGCCACACTTCTAACACCCAATGTTTCATAATATTTTTAAAAAGCACACAATAACCAAGGAATTCAGGGTTTTTTACTTATTTGAATCTCCCTCCCCGCCGTGTTTCCTTTCCCCCACCTTAGTTGCGTCCACTCTGCATAACTTACTAAGGAGGAGGTTGCTTACAAGCAGAGTTTTGACCATATTAGAAAGGAAAATATGCACCCCGTGTTCATTCCAGAAGCTTTGTATAGAATCAGTTCTTAATACTTGAATATTTCTTAGGCTTCATGACCGGATACTGATTGATGCGCCCACAGCTTAATCGTCAAACACTCTACATTTAACTTTAATGAGATTTTGACCTAGCTGGTTTTGTGTGTGAGTGTGTCAGTGTCAGCCAGCTTCTTAGTATCTTCCCCTTTCCCTGACAAAATGAAATGCAGAAAATGTTTGCTCACCTGCTGGGTAGAAACTTTGTGATATTTAAAAAAAAAATCATTTCTTCTGTAAGCCGTTATTATTTTTATCCACCATCAAGAGAAATGTGGGAGGGGACAGCAGAATTCTACTTAAAAGGGAGAAGCCATCTCTGCCACATTTCAAAGGCATGCCTATAATTACTAGCTTGACTACAGATGTATTTCATTTCTCAGTGGCTGGAGGTTTTTTCCAATTCTTGTAAATAATAAGTGAATCGTTTGACTGAAATACGGCCTGATACGATCTCATCCTGACAGCCGGGAGAGGCATTGCCTTTCCCTGTTGGCAAGAGGGATTCACGGATGTCGGAAGTGGGCCCTCTAATGGTAGCTTTGCCGTTTTCCCCTTGCCTCTTCGAAAGAAAGGCACGTCTCCAAAATGGATGCCTTGTCCAATTTCCTTCCCACGCCACTTCAGTTCGATACGGTACTAACAGCATCTGTTCGCTGCTTTTAAAAGCTCCCTCTCTGGAAAGAGAACTAAATGTCCATAACTGCGTTTGCCCGTACTTCTGTTTCAGAATGAGGCCTTGCTTTGAGCCAGTTGGGATCCTTGTCAGCAAAGGGATGGCTGCTCCCAGCCTGTTCTCATAATGGTTGAAAGTGGCAGGTCGAACATCCCTGGGCAACGTTGCACAGGAAGTAACATCCCTGGGCATGCTTGTCAGGTCTGCTCATTCGGAGTGGTCCCAGCGAGGCAGCTCCCAGACCACTTCCACTAATTCAGAAGCTGGCTCTTCTGTCCTAGGGTCAGCAGCAAATTAGTCTTTTTGTAAAGAATATGTGGAGGCTATGCAGCTTAGACTAGGCACGCTCGTGACTCTTGCAACACACGCAACACGCTTTTAAGCGAGCGAAAGATCGGCTCCTCTGAGGTTCCTGACAGGCCCAGTTGTCTTCTACAGCATTCATTTCGGGGTAGTAAAATAATATCCTTTGCGAATGCAATGCTATCTTTTCTCTCTCCACCCACACTGCTATTCCCATTTCCTCCATTTATTTCATTTTTACACCACCCAATAGCTGAGGTTCTCTGGGCAGTTGACAAAAGTTAAAAGCACCCAAACAAAAAAAATTAACCTAAGACAATAAAATCACAGTGACCACAACTGAATCAGCACAGAGGTATAGCAGTGGTACAGGATAAAATGCAAAATTATAACTAAAGTTTAAAAGTTAACTGTTAAAATACTGGGAAATAAAAAGAATACAGAGTAGGCGCCAGGCACCCCAGCCGGGGTGCCACAACCTAAAAGGCCCTTCTGGAAGCCGCCTGCCTCATTTCCTTTGGAGAGGGCTCCCAGAGAAGGACCCCACAAAGGTGACCTTGGAGTCCAGGTATGTCTTGCTGTGCACTGCCATTCAAATATACATGCTATACCATGATAACATATACCTTTTCTGAGGTCACCAGTGCGGGCCTGAGTCTAAATCAGTGAGTGGAAATGGTGGGAAAGTAGGTTCTTGGCAAAACATTTGGAGAACCATCCTAATGGGGATAGCCGTTACTTAACAGGGGAAGAGTCTGCCTTGGGAAGACGCCTCTCGCTTTCCCTAGAGGTATTTCGTTATTTTACATGGATGTGTTGCCTTTTTGCCCAGATATCAGCTCCCAAGGCAATTGACAGCAAAATACATGTTGAGCCCAGGTCCTAATTGTGCTCATGATGTATAAAGACACCCACTTTCACAAGCGAAGGACCAGCCCGCCACTGAGGTGGTGAAGGAAAGCACTGCATCTGCTTACTCCAAGTACTGAGCCACCAGATGACCTTAGTAAATAACGGAGGGCTGTTCGAGTTCCCTGTATAGATGCTACTGTCCGTTTTACCTTTTCTCAGTGCAAGAGCAGAATTCAGTTTCCAAGATGATGTTAGGGAGGGGCTACATTCTGATGGTCTCCGGGGTAGCACCTCAAGGGGACGGGTCAGAACACCAAGTCTCGCTTGAGTCTCAAATGCCCAATAACTGGCCCCTGAGAGAGGCAATTCAGCCTTTTAAAGGGGGGAAGAGCAACAAGAGCAATGAACGATTCGTGGTTAGGTGAAAGGGGTGGAGCTGGGGCTGCCTGGGGAGCCCCAGAGGGTCCACACAGGTTTGCAAGTCTGAGATTGATATTCCTTTTTGCAGTCTTGTCCATATGACTTATTTCATGGGTTGACCCACCCTTCACTGGGCACCTAAAAGTAGTATATTTTGCACTATGAGGTTATTTTTTGTATGGTATGCCATAAAGTTCGGCCAGTTTCCTTTTGCTTTTGAATGCTTAGGTGTGAGTTGAGCTTGTGTATTGTGCTCTGGAGCCATCACTTTATTGCCTGCTTTGATTAATATTTTTGGCATTTGAGATGTGTGGGTTTTTTCTTTACATAATTGGCTTTGTGGACAATTTGCAGTATCCCTGTAGAATAGGCACAGTAGCAGTGTTGACAGAAAATAACTTAAGACAAAATTGTTGACATTGTGCTGGCTAGAGCTGAATGCACGGTGAGCTTGTCTACTGAAATAAATATATATGAAAGAGTGAAAATAAGAAAGAAACGGTGCAGGTTGTTGACGTAGGTGCGGTTGGTGGGAAGGACGGTGCCGAGTAAGATTCCTGTCAGAGCTTACCTGCTGCACGTACCAGAGCTAAATTAACTTGCATGCAGAGGGTGGGGCTGTTTGGGGAGGTGGGAGATTCACATGCTCCTTGTGTTGGGACACAACCCTTTCCATGGATAGACATCAAAATGTCTTGCAACTTCTAGCATTCCCCAGCAACACACAAGCTGGAAGTTGTCCCTCTTTTTTCCTGTGAAAACAAGCACAGGATTGTGCCTGAACCTATTTTCCAGTCGCATTTTTCCTTTTTAAAAATATGTACACTGGCCAGTATCCGAATTCTTCATTGCATGCAATGTTGTACAAACAGAAGCTCGGCACTGAGCTTGGCAGGAGGAGATAATCCAGCTGAAGTTCTGTTTGCTCAAATGCAACCTGCTCTACAAGCAAAACACAGAAATCGTCCCACTGGAAGCCTTGGAGTTTGCAGAATGACACCACGCGACGCATGAAGCCAAAGTGGCATTGGAATGGGGTTTTCCTGTCCCTTAAGCACTACTGTCTCTTGTGCTTCCTGGAATCCTGCTTCTGAGTGGCGGGCAGGGCCACATCTTCCCTGTATGTGTGTGTGCGCATGTGGGGTGCACCTGGAGGTGGCAATCAGTGGAAGTCAGCACTGCCAGCCCCCACACGGACAGTGCCCCAAAGTAGCTCTCTTTGCATCCTGCCCTTAGCTAACAACTTACGAAACTATCAAGGGTTTTTTCCCTTCTTCTTCCTCTTTCTTAACTCATGCTAATCTTGCAAAATTACTTTTTTGAGCCATGGTTTCCCCCCACCACCACCCTTTTCTTAAGAAGCCTTTTCAACAGTGGCTTTATCACAAATATTCCATCTGATTTTTTTTAATGGAAGAAGTTAAGTAATTGGCTGATCTCTGAACTGAGAAGAAATGTCTTGCTGTGTTGAGGGTTGCATGAAATTAGAACTTAATCAAAGATATGAGTTGCCATTTTGCAAGGAGAACTATTTTCTATTTTTATCTTTTAGCACCACCAAGGGAGATGTAATTTACTATTACGGAAACAAAGGAGACCCAGAACCTGTCTTCCTAAATCCCGGTGGGTTATATCGGAAAACTGCGGGTGTTTTGGTTTATTCGAAGCAAGGGTGTCTGGAGGGGGGAGGCGGGGGGGGTGATGCAATATGGAAACTGAACCTTGTCAGAAGAATTCCATGCCACGCTGGTTCAGAGTGTCTGTATTTTTAGGGTACTTGACTAAGACTTGAAAGGTTGCAGACTGAGGTTATCATCGTTACTTCCATTCCTGATATGCAGGATGTGAATGCTGGTCCTTTTATAGCGAAAACAGCAATCCTTGGGTGCAGGAGTCTCAAGGGAGTTCTGACACTGGAGAAAGACAAAGAGAAACCTTTAGAGGGTGGAGGAAATCCCAAAACATCTCAGTGAAGACTGAGCATGCTCAGTGGTCATAGAATGCTGAATGCCTGTGTAGGCACAGAGGAGGAAAGGGAATAGAAGGGAAGGACCAGAATCCTGAACAAAGAGCACCCCCACCTCGAACTTTTGGAGCTGGGTCATACTGATTCCTTTAGCCAACAACAGCTCAGGGGCAGGCAAGGACAGAATGGGAGCAGACTCGGACATGATTAATTCGTGCAAAATAGCAGTAGCCATGGCCACTAGTCCTGATGACTGTATGCCTTCTCCAGGATCAGAGGCAGAACACCTCTTGGTGCACCAGCTTTTGGAGAACACGGGTGGGAAGGAGTGATCCTTGTGCTCCAGTCCTGCTTACAGGCCTTCCAGAGGTGTCTGGTTGCTCACTATGGGGCGAAAGGGTGGACTCGAGATAGAGAGGTGCTTGCCCTGACCTGACGTGGCTCTCCTTATGTTCGCATGCAACCGACACCGCAAGGAACAGCATTTTAACGCATGCGATCCTGCCAACGTTGCTAGTCTTGAATGGCCACGAGCCCCAGCCATGTGGCCAGTGGTTGGGGTGATGGGTGTCATATTCCTAGAACACTCAGAAGGCAACACGCTTCAGCCGTTTAAAGGATCTCATTTCAGCACTATTTTCTCACCAGCATGCTGAGATTGTTCCTATATTGCATCAGGGATGGGCAACTTGTAGCGTTCCAGATGCTTTGGTCTGTTTCCATGAACCTTGACCATGGCTTGTGCTAGCGAGGCCTAATAGGAGCTGGAGGAGGCAATTTGGGGGTCCAAAACACCATACTGTGGAGAGTCTTGGGTTTCACTTCCAAACGGTATATTTCTAGCCCGTGAAGTTGGGCACAGGAGTCTGCGGCTGATGACAGGCGAAGTCTGCCGTGACCACAAAACCCATAAGGTGGCTCACTGGCTTTTGAGGCTATGCAGGATTTGTGGCCAGGCAGAGCATTGGTATGCTGTGCGGTCCGTTGCCTGTTCCTTGTGACTAGCATAATAAACCATGCTTAATAAGCTGAGCTGCTACTTGGAAAACAAAACAAAACAGGATCCACTAACAACTCGCCCCACCTAATTTGTATTGTATTGTATTGTGTTGGGGAACTGCAGCTGGCAAGACGCACACTTGGAAGAGACAGTCCGTCCCGCTACAGGGGAAGAGAAGCAATAATGCCTCTTCTGTAATGACCCCCACTGGGACATGCGTGTTGCATCAGCTGAACCCAACACAGGCCTTCTTTACTTCAGAGCAATGCATTCCCTCCCACTTCCCCCATTTATCTATGAATATATATTCAGTTGAAACCTGTAGAACCAGGTGGCACAGCCATTTAAAAAAAGTGGTAAGTGCCAAGTCAGGCAGGTCTGCGTATCATTCATACAAAACACAGCATGCGGCTTAGCGTGACTCTCTCTCTCTCCCTGTCCCCTTGACGTGAGAATCACAGCTGAAACCCAGGACTGCTGTTTGGCTCTCCTCTCTGGATCAGTAAAACAATTGTAAGCGAATAATGCAACTGTTGCTGTGCGGCTTTGTGGAAGAGCAAATGCCCCGTCTCACTATGAGCAGCCAGGTAATTTTAGACCCTGGACTTCTCTGCCTTACAAGAGGGTCCTTTAGAAGGCCGCATGTGCTAATTCAATCACAAAGGACACGCCTTACCTTTTCTCCTCCCACCCCAGCTGCTTCCCAGGCCTTCGAACTACTTCTAAGTTCTGCCTGTGCTGCAGCAAGACTGCAGAAAGGGATGCCAGGTTTTTAAGGGCGCAGTTGGCATTCAGCGAGGGTAGACCCAATAGAACGCCAGGTTCTGCCAATCTTTGAATGTATCAGTTGAGTGCCGGCCTTCTCCGGGAGACCAGAGAAAGCTGCTCTCTCACCAAGAACAGGCTCCTCACCAGCTCCTGCAGTGCGCTGTCCATGGTCCTAGCCACTCCAGCATTGTCTGTCCCGACCTTGCCTCGCTTTGATTCTACCTTGCAACTTCTTCTGTATTCCTCCTACGTTAGAATAACAACAACAAAATGCTTTGCCAGAGTATTTATTAAAAAAACAACACTCTGAGTACATGCAATTTTGTATTTTAAACCCATTTAAATCACAGCATCGTCACAACTAAATAAAATGCAGATTCGCTGTGGCCGCCCTCTGATTTCCCTGCTACTCTGTGGTTGCTCCTTTGGAGGACCCTCAAGCTACAAAGCCCTGGACTCCAAGCTACAAACCCCAAGGCCTAGTCCTCGCTGCAGTGCTGATTGCAGAGCGGTCAACTTTGACCTTGCATATTGTCGGTGGCTGCTGCGCTTTCGTACCAAAGCTGGCCTGCAGGAAGAGTTTCCAGATGAAAGCAGCACAGCTGTTGACTGGGGCCCCATAGACGGGTGGCAGAGCATCTGCTCTCTGGTCCCAGGTTCAGTCCTTGGACTAACTGGTCGCTAAAAGGATCACCAGTAGCCCTGTATCTACGTGTGAGCTTAGAAGAACACCAGCAGTTGGATTAGACCAGACTGCCCTGGCCTGGTGCCTTCCAGTCAGTACTTCCCATCATCCCCAGCTAGCTCAGTCAGTGGTCAGAGATTATGGGAGCTGTAGTCCATTTGGTGGGTACCAGCTGAAGGAATACTGGGTTAGATGGCCAGGTATCTAGATGGACCCAGTGCTCTCATTTGATGTAAGGCAGCTTCATTTGTTCTAAAGCATAAATAAATCCAGGAACTACAACAGGATCCGTGTCCTTTCTGGTTCATAACAGCCCTTCAGAATCTGGAGCGGGATTAGGCCCTGTGTTCAAAGGGAGAAACAGGGTTTGTCACCACACCGGCCTTCCTTTTGCCTGCCTTAATGCAGCATTAAAAAGCAAGGGATCACTCATTCACACCATGGCACACAACTTGAAGCGCAGGGATCGGATCCCCAGAGGATCCGGCAGTGGCGTTCCCAGTCTCCTCACTCTGATGAGGAATTCATTCTCTGCAAAATGTGGGCTCTGCAGGGAAAGGAGCTGATATTGGAGGGTTGCAGGTCAGATCATTACACTACACAGCCAGTGCTTATTCTCCTGGATTATGGCCAGGAAATGTAGGGCACTATATGAGAGAGAGAGAGAGAGAGCTTCCCTCAACCACCTTTTCTGTGCACATTTACTGAGTCTCTTTGAGAGAAGTGCTTCTAACTCTTTGAATGGGATAAAGTGTAATTGATGAAGCCATCTTTGTCCCTTTTTGGTGTGCAGAGCGCCTCACCTTCTTTTGTGGCAGGAACAAAAGCCGAGATCAGGTCTGGTTTAACCCCATTGTGCTCACAGAGCTGTAGCTTTCTACTGACCTCGCTTTCTGACAGCTACCCAGGAATGGGAGTGTGCCCAGGCTGCGGTGTGCGGCGGGCTGCTCTGAACCCTTTCCTGTAGCTTTGTGCCCCGCTGCAGTTCCCGTATTGCGTAGCCGGGGACAAGCAGGCCACTTTTTTCTTGGAAGGGGAGCGCAGTGGAAGGCTGGCTTATGGGAGGCACAGTGCAGTGCCCAGTCTGGGTGAGATGCAAGGAATGCTTCGTGGCAGGAGCACCTTTTGGCCGGTCCCTGCCTCCACCTGTGAAGACCACCTTCATGCTGAAGATCAGTCTGGGGGTTGGATGTGGAGCCGAGGGCCCCAGCTGGGCATGAATCGACACACACACACAGTGCCATACGCCATATTCATACGTACCGAATACGAAGGAATGCTCTCCTTTAACCTACGTGCAAAGGGATGAGAAATATGCCAGGTATGGGTGAGAGTAAGAATGGCCACATATGCTGTCCCCCCCGCTGCATGTTCATCAGTGTTCTTGCAGACCAGCGGTGGGGAACTTCAGCTCCTGTCAGCCCCAGGCAACACTGATTGACATTGTCCAGTGATGCAAGATCAGTGGTCAGAGTTCTAGTCCAAAACGTGCCAAGAGGTTGGGGAAAGCTGTTCTATCACCAAGTTTAAGACCCCATGAGCAGAATTAGAGGTACGTTATTCAGCGAAAGAATCTGAAGTAAGGGGTCGGTCGGTCAGTCTAATTGATTTATTTATTAAGTTTATATACCATCTGCATGGAAAATGCCTGCAGGACAGTTTGCAAGCTAACAATCATCTTAACCCAACATAAATGCAGATGGAATGATTGTTAAGTTGTCTTTTAATTAATTGAATGGTGAAAAGAAGCCCAATTATGGATGTCTCTGGTTGAATGTTTGGGATACTAATTAATGAAGAAGATTCGGAATTTCTAATCTGAACAAATCATTGTGCGATAGCCGCCTTAAGGCTTCTACCTGAATCAAGATGCAGATTGATGCCTTTTGTCAAGGAAAGATCCAGTTTAAACGTGAATCTGCAATGAATGATTCAAGGCACATTTCTCTGCCCATTTAGACATTAAAAAGATCTATACCTCCCAGTATGCCTGGTTGGACCAGATGACTTGAGAGTCATCTGTTGGGTATTTTGCAGGTGTCATTAGAATGATCGTTAAACATGATTTTCAAATGTGCAGCGTGACCTTTGACAATCTGTTGTGCTCCCTTGCAAAGAGAACTTTTAATAACTGCTCCCCATTTCACTTACAGAGAGGCACTGGTGGGATTATATATTTAAAATGACTGACTCCCTAAAAATTCAGCAAAACAGAAAAGCGCGTAGATGATAAAATATTCCTATCCCTTGCCCATCAAACTCATGAAATCTATGACAGAGTCTGGTTTAATTTTGGATCAAGCCCTGTTTCTTTGATGGCATGTCATTTAATAGTCTTAACCTGGTGTTTCCCAACCATGGGTCCCCAGATGTTTCTGGACTACAACTCCCATAAACCCTGAGCATTGGCCACACTGGCTGAGGGTTATGGGAAATGATGCAGGTTTGGGAGCCCCTGTTCTGATGTACTGCATTTCCATGGATTCAGGGCACATATTAGCCTGCATGAAAACAGAGCCAAAAAACAAAGCCGGAAACATTTTCATTTGGTAAAGCTGCTAACAAAGGAGCCCTAAATTTCTTTTGTTACGGCAAAAACCTACAATTCCATTGCTATCGCATGCAGTCCATGCGCTTTTTCAGCCCAAGGGTTCCAAAGACAGAGCTGCCCAAATGAATGAGAATTTTTACTGGAAAGTGCTGAATATCCAAAATATGCATTGTAGTAGTTTTCTTTCTCCTAATCAGAATCTGCAAATATCTGTTTTGCTTTATGTGGAAAGTAAGTATAAGGCAGAATCATCTGGACATAACAGAATATAGAGGAAGTGGTATCACCCATCTAGATTAACATGTAACGCTTAAATCAGCGGCTTACCAGTACTATTTATCATCAAGGTTATTTACACCCCTCTTCTCTGCATTAGGCTCAAAATAGCTCACAAGAACAGGAAACAAATTGTCAATATATAGCTACAGCAAAAATGCACCCATAAACATAAATTAATGATATTTATGTCCATGTTAGGAAATAAGCAGAAACATCACAATTTAAATTTCCTTAAAACACATATAAGAGTTTGTTTCATAAATGACAATCATCAGACACAAAGACCTCACAGTCAGCTAGTTAATCCAAATTATTAAGATCCCATTAGCCAAATACTACTAGTGATAATATATCAATATCAAAACCCTACAGTTTAAACCAATTAAAATCCAAGGCTTTGAAAATAGATGCAATATGCCATGCTGCATAAGCCACGATTGACGGGCCTATTTATTCTGGTGTTCAGAGTGTTGGACAACGACTCTGGAAATCTGGGTTCTAGGCTCCGCTAGGCCATGAAGATTACTTTGGGCTGGTCACCGACTCCTAGCCAGACCCACCTCACAGGTTGTTGTGAGCATAAGGCAGAGAAGGGGATTCAGTAAACCATCTTGGCTTCCTTGCAGGAAAAAGTGTGGAATAAATGTCGGACAAAATTGTTTAGTTGCAAAGTCATGCCCGACCCATCACGACCCCATGGACAACATTCCTCCAGGCTCTCCTGTCCTCCACCATCTCCTGGAGTCCACCTAAGCTCACGCCGACCGCTTCAGTGACCCCATCCAGCCACCTCATCCTCTGCCATCCCCTTCTCCTTTTCTGTCAGTTGTTCCCAGCATCAGGGTCTTCTCCAGTGAGTTGCTGCTTCTCATTAGGTGGCCAAAGTATTTGAGTTTCATCTTCAGTACCTGACCTTCTAAAGAGCAGTCAGAGTTGATATCCTCTAAGACTGACTGGTTTGACCTCTCGGACAAAATAAATATCAGCAAATGCACAAGTTCCATACTTAATGTTTTGGGTTGGCTTGTGCCTGGGCTTGTCCTGGGGCCTCAGAACCAACTGGGGTGAAGAAAGTGGGTGATCCACAGGATCGAGCTGAATGATGCCTTCCTGAATTTTGTGCAAAAGTGCGGGGAGTAAAGCAGAAGTGGCTGCATTCAGCCTCAGGATAGGGCTGAGAAAGCCCAGGTGAGTTCCTGTGTTTTGTATACAAACCTGGACACACACAAGAGCCTGGACAAATTCGGAGAGCTCATTAAGTAATTCCTTAAACGATTCCAACAGAAATCTAGTTTTTGGGCCTTCATCTAATGGGCCGTAGAGCAGATACTGAGATGTGCTGTAGCCTCTTTCCTGTGGGGTGTGGCTTTTGTGTCTCACACATTTATCATCCAGAAAAGTAGTTGGCTCAGGTCACAAGCCCAGGAGCTGTGACTCAGAAGTGGCAACAGATAGTGGGTTTAGCTCTGGCGTGTCGACTCTTTCACCTACTGTGAAATGCTTTTAAGAAAGTTTTGCCACCTCTTCCAACCTCTCCCGCTCCCCCATGCAGGGATATATGGCTTGAGCAATTCTTTGCTGGATACGCCGTGGAAGAAACTTCAGTATGGAAAGCAGCTCTTTGCAGATGTTATCAAACACAGCCAGGACCTTGCAAAGGAAGATCTGGTGCAGGAGCTCATTAAAGTGATGAACAATCAAGAGCCGTAAGCCTGTGCTTTGTATCTTGCTTTACCATCCTATTTGTCATTCTGTCCAAATCTGCAGTGTCTCCAAGCTTCAGAGACATGTGTCTTGTGCTTTCGGTGCATTGGATGTTCCTAAATTCCCTCTTAGCAAAAATGTACACAGTCGGATCACAGGATATGCCTTCTAGCGAAGGATGCCATTGGTCCAGCTAGCTTCATGTGGTCTATACTGATAGATAGTGGCTCTCCAGGGTCCCGGGGGATTGTGTCCCAGCCTTAGCTAGAGATGGCAGGGACTGTATCTGGAATATTGTGTGCAAAGCATGTACAATTCTAGAAGCCCAATTCAGAAGTGACTAATTAAACTACAATTTTGCTTTAGTGTTTTTCACACAGTCCGGTTCCTTCATTCTCTGGTTTGAATAAACCTTTGTTTATGAGGATGACCAAATTGGGATCACCACACGCATAAGTGTCTTGTGGCAACTTAATGACTTCGAATAAATGAATAAAACAAAGTCATTCTTACATAAACTTTCATGGACTGTCATCCACATCATCAGCTTGACAGGGGTGTGGATGTTTCTGCCTGCTAAGTAGCAGGCAGGGAAGAGCAGTGCGCAGTGAGGTCAGAAGGAAACGAAATGCAGAAAGTACTGGGTGTTGTTGAAATCAAATGGCATCCTGTTTTGGGAATCCATCAGTCCCAAAAGCAGGCTAAAAATAACATGTATGAATACATAATTGAGATGAGGTAATATCTTTCTGTCAGGGAGAAACTCATGCTTTGGGCTGGTTTAAAGAATGCCGCATTTTAATTAATTAGACAAAAAGATACTTTCAGAATCGCCGCCCCCCCCCCCCCACAAAAAAGGTGGCAATGAGAAGAAAGGATTGCATCTGATGTGACGTGGAGCCCTGTGATAACCTGGCCCCCAATTAATCAAGCAGAAGATTTCTGTTTAAAATGGTTGTTTTTTAATATAACTGCTTACAAGCCCATGGATGGCAGGTGTTGCCTGACAAAATGCTTTTTCCTTCCCTCCTACACATCAGGAAATCTCTCTTCTAATTGGAGTTTGCTAGGACACATGCATGCACCATCTAAAACAACACAAAATATTATTTTAAAAAAGCTAAAACAAAATGTGTTTCTCTTCAGTGCATTTGAAGATAAATTTATTACATTTATTCATATCCTCGTATATGGATGGTTATCTAGTCTCATATAAGATTTCTTTAACTCAGAGGTGTAGGACTCCTGGCCAAAGCCAGTTCTCCAGAGGTCCCCAGAAGCTGTGTCCCATTTTTATTATTATTATTATTATTATTATTATTATTATTATTATTATTATTATAATAACATTTCTATGCCGCCCCTTGCCAAAGCCTTGGGGCGGCTTACAACACAATAAAATACATTGAAATACAATAGAACATAATAAATTACCACTAAATACAAAAATACACCCCAACCCTTTCCCTCACCCACCAATAATTTGGTGGGTGAGGGAACTAGCTATCGTGCAGGTTTTCCCCCAGTGCTAAAGGCTGAAATGCCTCCCCTAAGGCATTGTACTGGCAAGAAGAGCTTTACATGCAAATGTGCTAGGATTTTTGCTGTGCGGGCCCCGGGCCCTCTTAACTCAACTCCCATTTACCGCTGGAAGGCACCCCTCCAGAGCTTCCTGGAAACGGGATGTGGACCTTGAGCCGAAAGAAGTTTTTGTGCCTCTGAGCAGCCGCTCTTCAATTCCAGCCGTGCCATTGAGCAAAAATGCAGGGAAGCCTCTGTCTGGCCCTTGTTCCCACGCAGCCGCCTGTGTGCTTGTTCTTTTCTTGTGGTTGTGACTTTTGAGGCTGTCGTCGTACGCAGCTGTCCAAATGATCTCATGGGGAACCTTCGGGGAACTGCCCTTCTCAATGTTTTGGCATCCAATCATGGATGCCCCCGAGGTTTGTTTTTCGGAGGTCGCAGAAAGTAAGTGCAGGGAAGAGCGGAAGGAGATGATTTCTGTGTGGTTTTCTTCCTGCCCAGTCAGCTGCCAGATCCTGCAATTGAAGACCAGGGCAAGGACTACATCCTCCCCATCCTAAACAAGTATGCAGCTCTCTGTGTGCGTTGCCCAGATTATGGAACCAGGTAAGAGAACGGCTCGGTTCACATGCAACAATAAACCAGAATTGCTTAGAATGGTGGCCTACCGGGAAAGAAGCATACTGCTCAGTCACTCCTGCTTGGTTTTTCCTGCCGGCAGAGCAAACGTAGATGTAACACCGAACAAATCAGCTCTGAAAGCTTCTTGGCTTGTTGGCTACTTCCGCAGCAAGCCAGATGGCACTCTCAGACGGTGTGCACAAGCACGCTGCTGATCATTACCAGTAAGCCAGAATCCTTGGCAATTCCTTGTTTTATCGGTATGCCTAAACTGAGCCAGAGAGCGCATGCGAGAACATCTCATTGTGCATCACACTTGCTTGAAGCACACGGGAGAGTCCCCTTCACTAAAAAACCAACCAACCATGGAGGCAACTGCAAATTCTCATTGTCAAGTTTTGTTTTGCAAATAGGCAGGATGCTGTAATACATCCGAGCAGGAAACAAGCCTTTTGTGTCACCTTAAAAGATGGCTCAAGACCTTCTGACGGAAGAGAGCTCTTCCCCACAGAGCTTCAGACCACAATAAATGTGTTAGCCCAAAGGTGACTCTTAAACAGCCGTAGAAACACGCAACAAGCATGGCCCCTTTTCTAGGCCATGTAACAAATCCGTGGGTTTGATGTGAGTTCTACTGTGAGGAGAGAAAAGTTTGGCTAATCTGGCCAAAATTGATTTCCAGGAGGGGGCCGGGGGGGGGGTGGCGGCAGCAAAAGACGTCTTTGCAGAAATCTTTGTGTGGTGTTCTGCCCGGTGTCTTTAGGAAGTGAACCATAGTGTGCCTTTCTGGGGTAGATACCGGCACAAATGCCTGAGATCAGTGAAATGATTGGAAAATGTGTTAATATAAAACAGCAGGGCCAGGGGGCTCACAGGAATAGCCTGATGTGCATTGGATGTCACTTGTGCCAATTGGGACGTAGAATTTATTTCTGCAGGTTTGTTTGTTTGTTTGTTGGATTTATAGTCCTCTTTTTTCTTCTAATGAAATCAAAGCAGCTTACATCACTCTTCTCAATCTTATCCCCACAACAACAACCCTGTGATGGAGGTTGGGCTGAGAGTCTGTGACTGGCCCAGAGTCACCCAGTTGGCTCCATGGCTGAGCGGGGACTAGAACCCAGGTCACCTGAGTCCCAGTCCTGCACTCTTAATCGCTACACCACACTGGCTGTCTCGTTCTCTCACTGAGGGTTGCTCAGAACACAACAAACTTAGCCTCTGTGTTCTCGTTCTCTCTCTCTCTCTCTCATTCAGTACATTCTCCTTACCTGTCCCCCCGAAGCACATTTTGCAACCGGCATCAATAAACCCAGCAATGGAGCAGAAGCGAAGAGCCTGAATTCAGTGGGGTGAAAAAGGGAAAAACAGAATCAGTTTGGCTTTTTTTTTTTTTTTTTGTGGGCCCCAATTTTCCCCCCCCCCCCCCCCCACAACCACCAACAACAACACATGTCTTTGTTTCATATGTCAGCTGGGAGGAAGAGGGGAAAAGTGAATGAAAAACTAGCAGCCCAGGAGATGGTTCTGTGGAAACACTGTTAATCGCCGTTGTCTTCCTTTGTCTTCCCGCCCCCCCTTGCAGAACAAATACAGTCATTCTCATCGATGCGGAAGGACACGTCACTTTCACTGAGCGTACCATGCTGAACGCAGATGTCGACCAATGGAAAACAAGCACCTACCAGTTCAAACTGCAGATTTAACTGCTTTCTGTTTGAACAGATCGTGAAAAAAGGGGGAAGGGAGACAAAGAGAACAAACAAGCTTTGAACTCTAGTGGTGAGGCCTTGCAAGCAGTTCTCCCAGATCCAATGGCTCGTTGTTGTTGTGTAGCACACCCTATCAACCACTGAAACGTTTTTCTTTTTTGCACAAAGTCCAAACAGGATAATTCGAACAAGGAGCCTGGCCATACGTAAGAAACAAACTGTATTTTGCACAAATGGCCGTTTACTTTTTGAAGGATTATCGAGCTGCTCTGCACAGATCTTTAACTGGCTGCCAGCAGAGGATGCGGAGTACCTCGGGTAATCATGCACTGTGTTTTCTCTCCAAGGAGAGCTGGAAAACTAAATTCGACACCTGTAGTGTGCATCCAAAAAAAGGGAAAATGACATAATTCAGCCTTAGTGGTGCTTTGGCTTCATCCCGTGGCAGCATTAGCCTGTGAGCAGTTCCTCCTCGGTTTGTGAGTGCGCTCCAAGGACATGCAGTCCCCATTTGCTTTGGCAACAGGGAGAACTCTCTGTGCTGCTCTCCACTGGCTATGCAGAGCTGTCCTTACCTTCCAAGTGCTCGGGATGTTTCTGCTCCTCTGGTGCTCTCCGCATATGCGCTGCACCAAAGAGACTGCGCTCAGAGCGACTGTCTCACCAACTCTGCCTGAGACTGCTGAAAAATAATTGGGCCAGAAATGTTTCGATCAAATAATCAAAATGCTTTGATCTCGACTCTCTGTTGTCAAATCTTTCTAAATGAAGAACTTCTTTAAGAATCCAATTGGGTTCCTTTGGCTTTTTAAGTCAGAAGGAGCGTTTAAAAGGGGTTCAGTGGGAAGTGCTTTTCTAGCCATGATAATTGAAAATATCACTCTGCAGCTTTTGTTCTGGGCATATCTGTGAGCTGCAAAATGGCAACTGCTCTTCAAAGCTTATGCCCTCTGGTAGAATGAAATCAGGCTGCTTTCTTTTTAATACCAATTCTTTTAAGAACTAACACTTGAGTGGCATAATGCATAAGGGTAACGCTTAAGCAGTCCTGCATCCACCTCATAACTGAGGAAAAATCCCATGGAGCTCAGTGGGACTTACTTCTGAGTAAACATGTCTAGGATTGTGCCGTTCATGTCTTTTTAACCAGTTAGGAAAGCCCGGAAAGAACGTACTTTTATCCCCGGCCACAATTCTCCCCTCACATCCATCCTTTCTTCCATGCAGAGCAACAAAGCACTGAGCATATTTTGTTCATCACATGGTCCAGAATATGGTCTGAAGGCACATTAGGTGTGCACCCTGTGGAAGCTAAGCAGGTCTGCGGCTGGTCTAAGCTTGGAGGGGGGACGCCTGGGAACTGCACAGAGCCCCCCTTGGGTTCCACAGTGGCAGAAAGGTGGGATACAAGCATAATGGATACACAAATAAAACAAAGATACACCCCAGTGTTGTGAATGTTACCTTGTACCTGCATGTTTTACCTTGCAAACCTATGCATGTCTACTCAGAAGTAGGGACAAAGTTTTTCCCCCGTGCAACTGTGTATAAGATTGCAGCCCAAAACTGAAAAGCCAGGCCTGCTCCGTGGCAGTAATTTCAGAGCTCCAGTGGGGCTTGCTTCCGAGTGGAAGGCCTGGGCATTGTGTTGCCCGCTTTCTTTCACACGCACTAGGCCTCAGCGGGAAGGTATGTTAAAAGGTGATCACTTTGGCAGATCTTGGAGCACATAAAAACAACCGTGTGCAGAAGCACGGCAGTTTTAAATTGGGGACTTGGACTACAGCACACTTTGTACGTTCCTTGTAGCCATGAAGAGCTTAAGCTAATTCCTTAAGTGCTAGTTTGCTTTTCGGTTATTAGACAGTGCCGGGAGCTTGGAAGAATTGCTCCAGCCAAGGCAATTTTTAAATCCAAGGTCATTTTTCTCTCTGCAATAGGTGAGGCCGAATCCTCAAGATTGGATTGGCAGGCTCCCCCCACCCCTCTCTGGAACATTATATCCTTTCTAAGTTAGTGTACCACCAGGTGCAGAAATTACTGCCATTTTAGCTTTTTCTGCATTTCACACAGAGTTAATCAATTGCATTTCCCTCCGCATTCAGGATGTGCATAGCAGTTTCTTGGGACAAGGCCGACTCCCCCTGTGGGGGTCGTCGTTCTCTGGTGGGAAGTTTTGATTAGGGCCATGATGGCAAGATGGAAAAACAAACCCCCATCCCCGGGTGGGATTGGAAACATTCTAATCTTCACCAACTGAGGTGCGTGGAATGAGCTCCGTCTCCACTTGTGGGGTGGGGGGTTGCTACAGGGCATGGGTGTGAGGTGCTTGCGTCCAGGATACATCCCTGCTGTGCGCACGTCGCAGGTAAGCATGCAGGCCCAGAAGTACCCATCTTCAAACACCAGTCTCCCGCCCTCTGGGACGCATGGGAAGGAGGAGCCATTTGTGACCCAGGGCTAGCACAAATAACCTTGTGCTGGGCTAGACCAGCACTGACACAAAGTAATCAGCGGTGCTTGCTCAGGCCATGGGAAGAAGGGGCCTGTTGCCATTTGAAGCCCTTGCTACCAGTAGCTAAGCCTGCCAAGAGGCATTTCAGTCGTTCCCAATGAAGTGAAGGGAGCACTGTAGAAAAGCCAGGAAATCCCAGAACAGCTGGTTTGGGAAGGATGGGGGGAATCTGAAGAGCTCTCTCTAAGTGATGGTCTGATCCTGTAGGACTCTTAAGATACTTTAAAAAGAAAAAAAAATTCCACGGCCAAAAGCGAGTTTAGAGTTTAAATCTCCAAGCTCTTGGGTTTCTTTGTTTATATCAAATACGGACATGTTAACTAGCTTCAACTTTTGTTTAAAACTACCTCTCATTTCTGGGAAAGCAAAATTGCAAAGGCAGATATGGTGTCTAAGGTGAATTTTGCATAAAAATGAATCTAACTTCATTTCCAGCCCGGCAGCAGTCATAGCAATTTGTTGAAATGAGGATTGCTTCTGACATCATATTTTGATTCTGAGCATGTGTAGGGAAGAAAGGAAGAAGTGGGATACAGATATGGCTTGCCTCAGGATAAACCAATTTTTCAGTTTCCGATTCTCTTTATTTCTTCATTCTTAACTTTGGTTCTTTTTGCTATAGTTTGCCTAAAACTGTATATGTGATTTTGCCTACAATATATATATTTTTTCTAGCAGTGTTTCTCTTATAATGTATTTTGAGTTTTGTTTTCATGATTATTCACATTTTAATGCATTTTTTAAAATGGAGAATCCCATTGCACATCTGAGAAGTGCAATTTCTGGAAGATAACTGAGTTATCTGAGTTGTGTTGGGAATTGAAGATGTGTTAGTTTCCCAGGTGTGAAAGTATGTAAGTTTGCAGTAAGATATGAACCAAATTAATTTGAATGAGGAATCCATCCGATAGATGCTCACGATAGGCTCTTTCTTAAAGAGGTGCATCTTTTAATGTTTGCTGTCCATTTCCCATTGAAAAACCAAGTACAAAATTGTTATCTAAAGCAGCATTAAAAGTAAGTGAAAGTTTTTAATTTGCATATACCACCAAGAGGAAGAAGGTGCTAGCTCCCCCTGGGTCAGAGCAGGAAATTTAAAGGAGCTGTCTGTGGTGCTGAATCTTTTGGGGAGGGAGGAGTAGAGTTCAGCACTTGGATAGCTCCTTTAACCTGCTGGCTGGGAGTCCAAACCTGGTCACCAGCCTCTGTCGTCAGCAAGACATGAAATGCACCATCAGGTTTCAGTGAAAGCTTAAATACTACCTTGCCCAGGCTAACTCAGGACAAGATGGCTTCCACCTTCCAGCTGGTGTACAGAGGCTGAGTGGATGCTCTGATGGCTCTTCAAGAGTAGCAATAGGTGGTGTCCACCATCTCTGAGGCAGCCGGCTAGCTTAGGCAGCAGCCTGATGGCATACCATCCTCACGTTCCTCCCATAGCCAACCAGAGAGTTCATGAGGAACAGCTGATAATTGTCCTAAGGCAGTTGTCCCATTCTGCCTAAGGGTAGGGCTGGCTCCGTACCTCATACTTCAGAAAATCTCATAAAGCTAGCATTTCACAAAAGGCACCTTGGACTAGGCTTTTCCCTGCCATGCTAGGTGTTAACCCCAAAGAGGGTGGTGGTGGTGATGGTGGTGTTTTAACTTGAAGGAGAACTGAACCTCTCAACATCGCCTGCAACCTGACATGGTATAGTCAGAACCCACATGTGAGGTCTAAAGAGTGGTGGAAGGTGATGTGCATACAATGCAAATTGTAATTTCTTGGGTTGTGCTAAAAATATAAAGAGATGCGAGAAATACGTTTTATTTTTGTAATATATTTAAAAACAGAGGCATATTGGATGAACGCAATGCTTACGGCTTGGTTTGGTGCGGCTTTTACTGCTCTTGCTAATGTAAAAGTCATATCCCTTTGTTGAAGTGACAATTTCTTGGTCCACTAAAACACACACAACTATATATATATTCCATTTCTTTTTCAAATTGTTTTATATTTTGCCACTTATTCCTGTATAGAAGTGAAGTCAATAAATGCCTTGACCATAGTGAGTCCGCTGTTTGTGCACCTGCCTGACACTTGGACAGAGGGGATTCAGCGAAATGTGGGGAAGGTCCAGTCCCATGAAACCCTTAAGCCTGTTTAGCTGTTCAACAAGTTGTGCTTCAAGGCGTCAGAAGTGGACGGTGCAGCAAAGTCCCTACCTCAGGCGGACAGTGTGTGGTGCTCCAGGTGTTTGGGCTCACAATTTCCTGAGCCAGTGGCGAGGGATCATGGGAAGTGTAAACCCAAACATCTGGAGGGCCAAGTTTCCCAGCGATGCCTTGGCACATGATCGTTACCACGATTACATAGCATGTATATCCCACCTGTTTTCCTCTTACGAGGACTCTTTCATAGTCCTCCTCCACTTCATGTTCTCTTCACAACAACCCTGCGAGGTGGGTAAGGCTGAGAGTGGCCCAAGTCACCCAGTGAGCATCATGGCGGCACAGGGACTAGAATGAGGGCCTTCTAGGTCCAACACGAACCACCTCAGGCTCTCAGTGTCCCCCACGTGGCTGTCACTAAAACAGGGATGGGGGTGACACATGAGAAAAAAGAATGAATCTTCCCTCTGTGGCCTCCCACTCCGACCTGGAGGTTTTCAGAGGTATTTAAGAACGCAGCTCCCAGAATTCCCACCCAGCAAGGCCATTGACTGACAATTCCGAGCGTTGTAGTCCAAACATGTCTGAAGGCATAAATCTGAGGAAGGCTGCTCAGTGGAGTCCAACCTGGGCTTCCACCCGCTGCCCTTACCTTACAGATGATGGGAGTTGTTATCCAATACATCTGGAAGGCACCAGACTGGGAAAGGCCGATACACTTTCCTTACGGACAAAAAGGTGGTTTCTAGAGCCACTTCCTTCAGGATGGGTTTCTAAATGGGTAAGAAGAAGCTAGATCTCCAGACAAGATGAACTGCAGCTTCCAGACGTCATGGCCAGGAATGCGGGCTGTTGGGAGTCCAAAACAGCCAGTGATGATCTTTCTGCCCCCACCCCACTCTAAAGAAATCAAGAAATATGGATAACCTGGTTTTCCTCTTGCTCAGATCCTGAGGAAGTTTCCTTCTCTAAAACTAGTATTTCCTTTGTGAGGGGAAGGGGTGCCACTGGGCAAGTGTCCCATCCCAAAGCAGAGCACCAGCTTCAGAGGGGAAGGTTTTTCCTAGCTCCTCAGGAGAGGCAACAAGAGTTAATTCCATCACCTTCTGGTAATTCTATTTGCACTTTATTAAAAGAAAATCCACTCCTACAACATGAAAATGCATTTGGTTCCACCTTTAGCTTGGCCCTGAATGTCTGTTTAAAAGAAAGAGAAGTGCATTTCCCTCAGTTTTTTCAACAAAACATTATGCAGTGAATTAATATCAAGACAGTTTCAAAGAATCAGTTTTAACTTATTTTGGTAGATCCAAGTTCTGTTTATACTGACGCTTTATTAAGCTTCAATTTCCATAAATTAACTAAGAATAAGCAGCATGGAGATATAAAATAGCGAAACCTATTTGCCCAAAGAATAGAAACGGTTCCTATCACCTTGCTTATAATAAATGTCCTTCCATTTATGCAGAAACGCTACCTGTCTGTCATTTTCTCCCCATGCATTCGTGTCTGCTAATAAGGTACGTGGTAATAATTCATCTGAATCCATTTTCCATAGAGGTGTCTTGTGACTTGAAGAGCTGGAGGTCCTTGACTTGGTGGAAATGGAATAATCAGGATTGCAATCAACTGAAGAGCGAAGCTGCAGTGGCAAATTACGAGGATGACTTGCCCCATTTTGTACATTTCCTGCTGTGTCACTTTGAGTGTGGCTAAGAGAGAATGGAGAACGCTTGCTTGGTGCACTGAGCAAGCATAATTTCCCAAGAATCAGAGGTGGAGTGCTGGAGAGTTTTGTACCACTTTGGCTGGGGGTTGGCATCCTACCTGGAGTGAGTGGGCCAGGCAGTCGCTCTTTGTGGACGTTCCCAGGACCTGTGTTACCAGATCCCAAAGAGGAGGATACCGAGGAAGAGGCTCTGAGAGCGCAGTGGCACCAAAGGGGCAGGGGCCTTGGACGCTCCTTCAAGGTGACTGCCCGCCGTTTCCCAGGCTGGCTGTGCGAGCAGACAAGCCGTGCAAGCAGTGGGAGGGGACCCAGAAAGAGCCATTGAGTTGCCTGGTCCCTGATACCGTGACTAGCGGTTGGGAGAGGTAAGCGAGACAGGTAAGAGGGATGGAGGACAGGCACAACAGAAACGCGACACGCCAACGAAGAAGTAGGTTTTCGGGCAAGGGAGGAGTGCCTGGCTTCAGGCACTGCCCTGAGCAGCTTATCCAGTGGTGAGGGATGATGCGAGTTGTAGGCCGCCGAAGCGACTGAGGCGCGACACGCTGCAATTGCTTGACTTGAGTGCCCCAACACACAGCCCGAATCCATTGCTCCCACATTAGAAACCCAGGCTGGTGCCAGGCACCCTGAGATGTTTACAAAGTCCCCAGTCAGCTAGTTTTCTGCGCACACACTGTTCTCCTTGTTATTCACAGCCTGCATTTCATCGAACTAAAATCAGCCTTCTGCAACCTGAGCCCAGGATCACGACAGCATCTCATTTAAAAGGCAAACGTTCCTGCCACGCCTGTTCACTCCACGTACGCTGCAAGCTTGTGATAATTGAATTTTGGCTTTCGTTAGCCAAGGAAAAGAGCATGGGGCGCAAGGAGGGCAGCAAAATTATTTTAAAAATGCAAAGATTATCTAAGTAGCTTTTTGTAGAAAGATGACAAATGTTCACTATACAGAGGGTGGTTTTGGCTGCACTGCAGAGCACTAAAAAGCTATATGGATGGGTGTTTTGTAGGAACCCATGAAGGCTGCTGATTGGTGAATGGACAACCCCTCCCCCACGGCAGCCATTTTCTGAGAGTGCCCATGGCACTACCAAAACTCAAAATAGGCCCACCAACTCTTTCCATTCTAAAAATGAATTCGTATTCAGTTGTCAACCTTTAGAAAGAATGATCTGAAACTATATTCTCACCTCTTCCTAGCAAGAAATAGGAATAGATGAATCTGCCATCAGCTTCACTTTCCCCAGCAGCCAAACTTTGTAAACCTCACATTTTCCTTTCCTTTCCTTCTGTGAAGAAATCTGAATCTTCATCAGTTAAAACCAAGCAAAATCCATAGTCATCACTACTTCAGGGAGAAGGTTCAGCTGTCCCACAATTCTGATTTTTAACAGTGAAAAGTAGGCCTGTGAGATGGCGCCAGTTGGATGCACCAGCCACATTCAATGCATAGCATTGAATTTACACCCCCATGATGCAATTTCCAGGTACATCAGCACTTGCTCAGCCCCACCAGAAACATGGGTGAATATTTGGAGATTTCAAGCCCCAACCGTGGATGGATAGCTCTATCCATTTCTCTCTCTCTCACATTCATTTCTTTAAAAAAAAAAAAAAAAATCTGTGTTCCTTCCTTCCTGCTAACAATTGAATTTGGGAACTTGAGGGAGTTCTCCTTCAAAAGTTGTCTGAATAAAAAGCACGCCCATTCCTAGCAAGACGATACTCATGCTGCGATTCTGATTTTCAGCAGTTCAGCCGTCGCCTTGCCCTCCTCCTGTGCAAGGCCAGGCTGCCTGCTGCTGGGTACCGAAACATTTGTGTGTGGCTCTGCTGTGGAGGCAAGATGCAGCTCTTATCTACTCAGACAAGTGACTTCCAGAGTCCTTGAAGGAGGGGAGCTGAGCCCTGATGAATGCTTCATCTAACAAGGGTTAATGAGGCATCTCCAAAAGACACAGAGAGGGAGAGCTGATTTACCAGGGAAAGGGACTAGAAATTGTCTCTAATAAATGGCGACAGTTACAGCATAGAGGAGAAGGAAGGCCGTGGCTCGGTGGCTTAGCACACACTTCGTTGTCATTGGACACTGTCTAGCCCCTCCACTCAAAGGCAGCTGATGGCAAAGCACTCTCTGAATGAGACTTCAAGGAGCTGCTGCCAGTCAGAGTGTACAATATTAGCCTAGATGCACAAAGCGTTCAGCCCAGATATAAGGCAGCCTTCCTTTTACAGAGTAGCTGTTGATCCAGGGGTGGGGAACTTCCAAAGGGATGCATTTTGGCATCCAGGTTCCATGTGCTCGGCATTTTGGCATGGGCACATAGTCAAGAAGGAGACAGATGCTCATCTTCTTCCTTTTACTTGTTGGTGCCTTCAATTTTCGAAGCACTGGTTGAAAAGCTGTTCCGTTCCTGTGCTTACAATGTAAAAGTCCTGCTAGAGAAAGGGAAATGCCCTGGGCGAGAGAGGAGCACAAGCAAAACCAGACGCCAGTTTTCAAAGTTACAAAGTTCCTGTGGTGTGTGGTTTGAATGGGGATAGTTTGGGGAGAAGCCAAAGGGCTGCTGTGATGGAACGGACCCTGTGGTCCCGTCTCTCCCTCTGCCTCAGCCTTATGGAATGACTATCCCGACTGAGGCAATGGGGCAGCAGGCAGACAGAAGTGGGGGGTGACGGTTTCAGAAAAGACCCTAATCGGAGCCCACAGACACTTCCAGGTGGGCACTAGAAAAATGTGATAAACATCACTGGGGGAGGAGTTGCTATCAGAATGTACTGCCTACAACAACAGGTTGAGCTATTTATTACCTTACTACTAGTATTAATGGTGGTTTGCCCCCAATACCCCCAATAAATCCAGTTTTATATAGCCATTTATATTGCACTGGAGAAGGTGCAGAATTTTTCTCCCTGGGACCCTGAATTTGAAATATGTTCTACAGAAAAGCAGTCTGTAAGGAGGCCAGCCTGAATTCCAGCTTGGCTATACAACAGCGCCTCCACCTGTCCGTCTCTGATCGCAGCTTTCCGCACTGGCTTCCTCCGTCTGATGCCAAGCACAGGTTGGGCTGGGCATTAACTGCTGGTTTTCTTTCCCACTTGCAGCGCCCTCTAAAATTATAACGAAGGCCATGATCTCTGTCGTGAATGACTAGTTGAGGGGTGTTAGAGTTAGCAATCTTAGCCAGCCAAACTACTCTGCATTAGTTCTGTAGACTTCCTGGCTAATTCTACCAACACCAAACGAACTAAATAAATAAATGACCAAATCACATTCCTTTATTAAGCTGGCACAAGTTTCCGATTTAGTCTAATTGTTACTCTAGAGTGGGTTTTTCACTGGAGTGTTGATCCTTTATAATAACACTGTTTATATTTTTGCATAGCATTTGGGGAAAATTTATTTATTTATTATAGCATTTTTATGCCGCCCCCATCACAGAAAGCCTTGGGGCAGCTTACGATTTGGGAAAGTGTACTTACTCAACTCTTTCCTATTTCTTCTATCCCTTTCCTACTAACATCACTAATATTGTAAGACTGGAATTTGGACAGGAGAGGGTAGGGTAGCCATGTGCCCTACTTTAGAGAGGGACAGTCCTCCATTTGAAAAGCAGCATAGTTTCCAAATCAACTGTTGAACAAACAGTTCAGCTATGCAAAGCCCTTCTTGGGCTGACTGAATTAATTGTGCAATTCTTTGTATCCTGGTCAGTTGTTGTTATTTTTTTCTAAACTCCTCCTTTAAAAGGGGGGGCTGTCTGTGTTCTACACCTCCTTTGGTTAATTGATTGTCTTGTTGCTGAGATAATAACCTGCCAGAAATGCTGACGGCAGGGTGCTGCAAATTCAAAAAATCCCACATACGTCTTTCTCTTGCTGTGGACTGTTCTGTTTGCATCCAAAAAAGAAAAAAAAGCACTAGCAGGACTTTCGTCAAAGCAGGGGGCAGTCTTGCAGCTGATTGTTCATGACTGGCTGTTTGTTTTTTAAGACTTATTTCATTGAAAAGACAGGGGAACTATAAAGGTAAACAACAACACGAACCACCAGCTGCGTCAGCATTTGCTGAATCCTTGACAAGTTATGGCTGACCGTGTCACAAGCTTAGGATGCTAAATTCCAAATACCCTCTGTGGTGAACAAGGTCACCCAGAGCCAAAGCCAGCTCCAATGTCATTGATGATCAGAGCTTCCACATGCCTCCCGCCATCCTTGGGCGCCTGTAAACCTCCAGGTATGGAGGGTTGCAAACTGCCCCCTTGGTTGTTGTTGCTATTCGTGAAGTCGTGTCCGACCCACTGCGACCCCATGGACAACATTCCTCCAGGCCGTCCTGTCCTCCACCGTCCCCCCGCAGTCCACTTAAGCTGACGCCAACTGCTTCAGTGACTCCATCCAGCCACCTCATCCTCTGCCGTCCCCTTCTTCTTTCGCCATCTATTGTTCCCAGCATTAGGCTCTTCTCCAGGGAGTCCTTACCTCTCATTACGTGGCCAAAGTATTTGAGTTTCATCTTCAGCATCTGGCCTTCTAAAGAGCAGTCAGGGTTGATCTCCTCTAGGACTGACCGGTTTGATCGCCTTGCGGTCCAAGGGACTCGCAGGAGTCTCCACCAGCACCACAATTCAATGAACTAAACAGTGGTTAAATAGATCATTGTAGAGAGACATTTAGTGTTGCCTTCCAGTGTCGGTGCCATGTTCTGCAGCTCTCTCTGATTACTCCGGCAGCTGCAAGCATGAGCCTTCAGCTCGCCCCAAATTGAGCCTGGAGGGAGAAAGTGGATGAAAAGTCAGTGGGCAGCCGGAGTGCCTGAGCAGGAGATGGGCCCACACATAGCACCCCTGGCCCCTGCAAAATCTACTGTTGGCACGATGCACTTCCTTCCTTCACCTGGGGGCAAGATCCTGCCTCCGCAAGGTGTCCAACACAGGAAGTGTGCTTCCTTGAAAGAACTTAAGCACTGAGTGCCACTTCAAAGGTCAGGACTAGCTGGAGGGAAACGACATGGGTGTTGGCATGCAATTTAGTCCCTTGATGGGTTATTGATTCTCTCTTTCAAGAAGACAAATAGGAGGTTGGCATCCCTTGCATCGTTTAGGAGGGGACTGGGTGGTTCTGCTTCCATCGCCTCTGCTGTGGAGCCTGAACACGTTGCCTCCATGCAGATTAATGGAGCTTACTCCTGAGTAAGGGTGTGTATTTAGTTTTGATTGTTTAAAGCCCATCCTTCCTGTGAAAAGCTCAGGGGGTGTATATGGATCTCTTCCCCATCTTATTTGTTCTTCCCAACAACCTTGTGAGGAAGGTTATGTGTGAGAGGCTGGCCCAAGGTCACCTGGGAAGCTCATGACTAAGTGGGAACTGGAACCCGGATCGCCCTGTTCCTAGTCCAAACATTCTCATAAATCACACTGGCTTTCTGGATAGGTTGATCGATTTAATTGCATGTCTAAATTGCTTATATTAAAAGCATCTCTAAGCACTGTACCACATCATGAAACAGGAAGAATCCCTGGAGAAAGACCATCATGCTAGGAAAAAGTGAAGGCAGAAGGAGAAAGGAAAGACCAAATAAGAGATGGATTCACTCTGTGAAGGAAGTCACAGCCTTCAGTTTAGAACAGCGAAGCAGTGATGTCATGGACAGGACATTTTGAAGGCCTGGATTCATAGGGCCCACCATAAGTCAGAGTCAACCTCATTCACGTAACGGCAACAAACCTGTGCAGAGGAAGCAGTGCCCTTCCTTTTCCTTCAAAAAGTTTAGTGGCTGCACCATGGGTCAACTTTTTAAAAAGTTGTTCTAACCTAACTTTTTTTAAAGAGTGGCCAGTGCAGATGAGGGCAAGGTTAGTATATATTTTAATAGTTAGATAGAAGCAGGGCATTTTTTTGTCATAGAACGCACCGGAACGGAGTTCCGGCACCTTTTTTTCCAATGGATATTACAAAGTGATTTTGAATCGCCTGTCGGGCTTAGCAGATCAGCAGCAAACATCATTAACATATGCTTTTGTGTCCGTGCTGATAATGAGTGAGTGCTTACTGCCAGCGGTGACCATTATGCTTATGTATGTGTAGGGTGACTGGCTTTACACTAAAAATCTTTTTTAGTGTAAAAGTGTGACCCCAAGATGTGAGTTCCGGCACTTTTTTTTTTTTTTTTTTTACAGAAAAAGCACTGGATAGAAGGATATTTGAAGAAGGACAGAAAAGGGCCACCCCATCCTGGAGAAAACCAGTTTTCCCGCATTGCATCACATCTAGGTTAGCTTACTGTGCAATGTCCACATGCCCTTGAAAAGTATTTGGAAACTAAATTTGGTGTGAAACGCTGCAACCAGAATAATGCCTGGTGCTTGTTCTTCTTATGTTGGTCTTACTCGAGTAACACTGGCTTCAGGTTCTGCTATTATTTCTACAACAACTGTCGCTTCCCGTTCATGTCCAAGCCCATTTCAAGGTGCTGGTCCTAACTTCTAAAGCAGGATATAAATCTTTAAAATCTATAGAATTGTGTGAATATGCAATTTCTGAATGGAATGCGACCCTCGCAAACCTTTCCCAAATCGGAACTCGGCCCTCTTGAAGAGCCTTATGCAGGGTCTCCCAGCCTTCCATAACCAAGATTTTAATGAATAAAATGATTCCTGCATGAGAAATCAATGATTGCTGCTTTTGCTCTTGCTATTATCTGGGGTTATTATGGCTGCTCATGTAACTTTTTTAAAATATTTGGCTCGCTGACGTGTTCTTTTTATATTTTGTCGACACTAACCCGTTCAGACGAGCACTGACTGCGCACCCTGTTTATTATTACCAAAAGCAATATGAACCAAGGCTGCTGATGACGTAACGCCAGGAGACCGCCCCCCCGCGCGCCCCCGCGCGTGCATCCCCTCCCTTCGCCGGCCTCTTCTAGCTCCTCCCCTCACTTCCTATTGGTCGCGTTCCCCGCCGCCCGTCTCTCCTTTCATTGGCGGCCGCCCTCAGAAGAGGCCGCTGACCCGGCCGCCAGCCAATGAGCAAAAAAAGCGGGAGCCAGAAGGCGCCCGGTCCTCGACGGCGATTGGCTGGGAGAGGTCCCAGCGAAAGAGCCTCTTCTGGGAACTCGAGCCGTTTAAAGATGGCGGCGGCAGTGAGAGGGCGACTTCGCTGATGGGTGGGGAGGAGTGAGGCGCGGCGCGGGGACGCAAGACGCTTCCGCGCGGGGCAGAGCAGGAGGAAGAGCGGGCCCGCGAGGAGGAAGGCACTCCCGCCTCGGCTTCTCCCCGCACGCGCTTTGGCTTTGGTGGTGGGGCGAGGCGCAAACAAAAAGCGAGCCCTAGAGAGAGGAGCGGCAGGGACACTCCGGGCATGGCCCAGGTGGGTGCCGGGCCTGCGGGCTCCGGCAGGGCGCGGCGAGGGGACGCGGCCTGGCCGCCGCAGCGCCGCCTCGCTTGGCGGTCGTGACGCGCGAGAGCCGCTCGGCTCAGGCCCTGTGCCGCCGCCGCCTCTGGGCGATCGGAGGAGTGTGTGTGTTGGGGGGGTAGATTTCCCTTCGTCACCCCCTTGGCCTCCCCTCCCTCCCTCGCCTCCCCTCCCCTCCCTCCCCTCTGTGGAGCTCCGAGGAGAGGAAGGGTACATGAGCCTGGTTGAGCATCGTTCTCGAGGGGGGAGGCGGAGGGGGGCTCTCCCCTTGCCTTTTCTGTGTAGTAGCAGGAGGTTTTTGTGGGGCTGCGGGCGGGGAACCAGTATTAGGCTTCCTTGAATGCATGCCAGCTCGGACCCCCTCCAAGTTCAGGTGGGCCGGGGCGCGCAGCCTGAGTTTTCTAAAAACAATGAGTAAAGTGCTGAGCCGCCTCGCTGCAACCCCCCCCCCCATGAGCCCTGATTGCACAGGGGTATCGTGATGCATTTGAAATTGTAGGCCTTTGTTTGGCAAATAGACCACGGTGTGCAAAAGAAATAACACTATAATTTGTTTACTCAATTGATAGCTAGCTGTTTCACTTGTAAGAGTACTCAAGAGAGCTTAAAATATAATAGGATAAAAGTAATACCACCCAGAAGATAGTTCAGATCATGATTTGTACCTTCATCTCTTTCCTTTGGTTGTTGGCTTTCCTCCGAAAGTTTTAAGTTATCTCATAAAAGTGGTGGGGAGTTATCCCCCCCACCCCGCCAGGCTGTCTCGCTAGTGTTGGGGGAAAGTCTGAGACTCTAGGAAGCCCCTGCACCATTAGCTGTGACTGTAATGGTGGTCAAGTCACCACCCAACCCTTGCGCCTTGAGAGTTCTTATCTTGTATACTAACTTTATTATGTCTCATAGTTTTCTTGTTTTTTGAAAGGGAAACCGGTTTCTAGCTTCTCATGGGAGACTGCTAGGGTTATAGTGTTGTGTTTTTAAAGCTAGAGAAACAGGACCATTGTTTTTAAAAAGCAATCCAAGAACTTGATTTGCATTCACATGTGTGGCCCTTCCTATCATTCCTTCAAATGTGAGTTGGTATGCTAATGGTGTTCCTAGCTTAGATGTGACCCAACGTCACAGTGGTGATTCTGCAGTTTCTGCATTGTAGAGTGCATCACTAGGCAGCAATGGCCACGACTCGGTGGTGTGCAGCACCTAGCACACTGACACCATGTAAGAATTCAAGAGTAGTTTGCAGTAATAAATACTTCATAAGGGTGCATTCTAGACTTTCAAAGTATTGTATATCTCAGTGGCCTTTGCTCTGGCTTTACATTATATGGATAGTATTATCTTAATATTGCAGATGGGGAAGAGGCAGAAGATAATCTTGGAAGCTAAGCAGGGTCAGGCCTGGGCAGAAATGGGATGGGTGACTTGAGTGTATGATTCTATGATTATTGCTGTCAACTACCTAGAGAGCTTTGGCTATGGGCAGTATAAAAATGTAATAATAATAATAATAATAATAATAATAATGCCCACCAAAGGCAGTAAAGTAATTTTGTGCCAGGAGTGAGAGTTGAATCAAGGGCTCTCCTTACTTTCACTGAATTACCTGCCTTCAGAGAACACTGTGACATATGACACAATATATCCATGACCTGGATTGTGTCTAACCAGTGATAAACAACAATAGGGTTTAATTATAGCTGTACTAATAGTGGTTTCAGTTTGTTGAATAATTTCATTCTCGTTCCTTAATTTTCTATTTTCTGAGAATAAAGTCTGGGTGTGGAGTGGTGTTATTTGGAAAATAAGTTTGCAAGAAAGCATCCAGTATGAGTAGCTTTTTATTTTAGCATGTGTTACCTTCAGATATAGTTGTATTACCTATTCTTAAAGTTACTTTACTGCTGTACATGAAATTATAAAAATGATGTAATGCTGTAAAATTAGGGGCATAGAAAGCTCCTATTGTACATCTAATTGAAGCTTAAACTTTAAAATTCTCCTCAAAATGCTTGACAATAAGAAAGTTGAAGAATAAGGCTGTCAATGCCAATATCTCTCCCTTGGTAGGCATTCCAAAGTTGAGGGGCCATCTCAGAGAGGGCTCTGATTGTAGGTGCGCAGTGTATTCCCAGTGGTATTATCCAGAGGACTGACTTGTCTGTAGACATTGCAGACCTTTATGTACCAGCCTCTTTCTGCTAGTCCTTGATGGTGATCATCACTAATGCAATTTTTAATGATACAGCGGCTGGCAGAATCCCATTTCCTTCCTCTCAAGGAGAGATGCCTAACTGCTTCTAGACTTGAGTGAGTTTATCTATTATTTATTTCCCCGCTCATCAACCTTGGGATTTCTGTATCCAGGAGTGAATCTAGGGCGTGCTAGACCCCTGGAGTTGAAGTCGGCCTTTTCTGTTAACATAGTGTTTGTAAAGTCTCTCAACTGATGAAATGTGGAATTCATAGGCTTTGATTCTGGAGAGCCTTCGTACTCATCTCTAACCCTTGTTTTACAACCAGCCTTTCCCCCTTTCAGCTAATGTCAGTGACTTTTATAAGGGTGAAAATGGTTTCTGTACATTCAGGAACAAATTAGGGATTGGTTGGGTAGATGCTAGAAAAATTTAATTGAGAGATTTGTGCATCCACATTGCAGTTGTCTAAGCAGTTTCCCAGTTTGCAAAGTCTTGCTCTCCTGTCTCGGAATGGTGAAATCTAGGAGCTCTCTTTCTAGAAATTGGTTTGGGATGATGAATGGTAGTTTGGAAACAGGACAATTTAATCTTGAGCTTTCGTGGTGATATTCTTTCAGGACATGAATGCTATGTTCAAAGTTTAGAAAACTCTCAAGAACCTTAATTCAACCTTAGAGTTAGTTAGAAGAAGCTACCAGCCTACAAAACCCATCAGCCTGCTTATGGTTACTGCAATGTCATCGAGGCAGCTTGGACATTGGGTCTGGCTGCATTTTAATCTTGGATTCTTTTTTTGTTTTATGAAACAAATCAGCATAGTTTCACGCTAAGCAAGGCCAATTTAATTGGAAAATGGAGGATAATGGAGATGAATTAGTACTGAAAACTGTTGACATCAGAGTTTAACCCTGTTTCACTGAGGTTGTTGGGGCACTCAAGTCATTCTGCGCCCCTGCTCCTACTTATTAGTTCAGATTAGGTATTTTAGTGGCATATAATATTCTTTCGCATCCTTGCTAGGGATAACTACCTAAACAAGTTAATTACAGTTGTCTAATATATTTGTAGGTGATATCCGTTCATTGTTAATAATGACCATGAAATGGAATTTTCCGCTGAAAAATTAAACACTAGATATAATTCTATTTCACAAAATGTTTTGCCCCACATCGCTGAGTAGGCTGCCTACCAGATGCTTTGGACTATGATACACTCCAGCAGGATGGCCAGAGATGATGGTAGTTCAAACCATCTGAAGGGCATTGGGTTGATCATGCCTGATGTATATGGATATTTCTCATTTGGAGCACTCATTTGGTTCCTTTCTGACTTACGTATGCAACCAAGAGCTCGCTTCTAATTGACCCAAAGAGTAAAGCTCTCCAATATTCTTTCTTGGAACAGAAATAGAACTGCTATAAAATACTTCATTGGTGCTCATCAGTCTTGCTTCCACCTTCCAAATGCACTTAACTGAGGGACTGAAACTATTGTTATCTCCCCTGTGCACCACTTTTAAAACCCATTCATCCTGTTGAGAGGGAGCATCATTTAGAAGGACTGCATATGGGAAGTATTTGATTCTCCTGATATAACTGGGGAAAATATATCTACTTCTTGATAAAGTTTTGACTTGAGCAGATTCATCCATCTGGGGTTTGTGGTGTGGGTGAGGGGGAATAATTCCTTTATTCCTTGCTGGTAGGAGGACTTAGAACGTTCTGTTTGGGTTTACATAGAGGGACTTGGAGAAATCAATTAGCCGCAGGTAAGAAATTCCCGTCTCTCTCCATGGTCGCTGCACTACTTGGGAAATTTGCTGTATTTCACACACACATCATTATGTGGGATGCACACATCTGTTTTACTGTATATAATACGAAAAGCCCAGAGGAGGGTGTGTATAGCAGAAATAATACTTATGCCTTTCTAAGTTACTTTTACAGTTTTCACACTGGGAAGGTAAAATTACGTAGCACTGTGCATAATTAAGTGTTCCTTGCCCTGCCTGCAAAGTTAGCCACTCTTGTAACCTCAAGGCATTTCATGTATGATAGGCAGATGCTTATTCAAGGCTATGCAGTGAGGATTGATTTGAACCTGGAGACATTTTTCTTGTAGTCTGTGCTCTGAATCAGTAAATGTAAGTGGTACTCTAGCAGAGATACATGCATGTACAGGCATGAGAGGTAACATGCATTTCCTACAAGATGCCCATGTGTTTGATTGTCATTGTTCCTTGTGTGAAGTCATTTCACACAATTTTACATATGGGCATCTGGTGAATCTACACTGGTGTGATTTTACATAAATTACTGGGATCAGACTGAATTGCTCCTTTATATTGGCTCTGAATTTCAAATTTATTTTCTTTAAATGAAATTAATATTTGTATTGCTGTTGCATTTAGTTAATAGCCAGCTAAATATCCTTTATTCAAGAGAAGTGTTATTTGGAATGAAAGTGCCCTTCTACAGTCATATTTTGTTTGGCAGTATTAGCTTGGTACCACAGGTGGGCTAGTAACACTGTCACAGTCCATTTAGCAGTCTGTTGCTTAAACATAAAGAAAAATAAACATTTTTGCACAACCTTGTTTAAAAACATTTCCTTCGTAAGATTCTCTGAGTGACCATAAATATTGCTGTTTCTGATGCTGTGCAACAGTATATAGGTAAACAGATGTCATTTGGAGTTCTGTGTAGTGTACTTGTAGTGTGCTGAGATTTTATGTATTTCATAATCATAAAACAGTAGACCGTCAAAGCTTTCCTGTGACCGTTAATTTTTTTTTTCTTCATAGGTTGAAAGACGAAAAGGACATCTGCATGCGGCCAGTGAAGATGCTCTTTGCTTCGATACCAGCTATTTAAGCTGAATGCATTGTGATTTCCAGTAATTGAGACAGTGATTCTGAAAGCTGTCTACATTAATGAAAAGAACAATGTAGTCAGCTTAATTGAATCATCAGTGTTGCATATTGAATAGAGCATGACAAATCCTGTCTTGATGGACTTCTGCATGTTAGGAATATAGATTTATTTGCCTTTTTTATTTAAAGCCTTGTTTTCTTTTGTAAGTTTTAATTATGGAGAATTACGAGACTGCACCTCCCCTCCCAAAAGAGCCAGCAACAGAAGTGAATGTGGAGAATGATTCTTGTCCCCCACCACTGCCGCCTAATGAACAGCCCCCACCACCTCCCCTGCAAACGTCCAGTGACGCAGAGGTAATGGACGTTGGCTCTGGTGGTGATGGACAGTCAGATACCCCTGCTGGGGACGTGCACACTGTCGGCAGGACACAGCTTCTCACAAAGGGATCTTCATGCTACAAAAGTCGTCTTATCATAGATCCTAATAGTGACCAAAGCCCAAGAACTGCTCGTCACGCGCCTTCAGTCAGAAAGTTCACCCCTGATCTTAAATTGCTTAAAGATGTAAAGATTAGTGTTAGCTTTACAGAGAGCTGCAAAAGTAAGGACAGAAAAGTTCTGTACACTGGAGCTGAGCAAGATTATGAGACAGATTCAGATCTAGGTGTTAATAATGTCAATGGGGATATGCATGTTTGTCCTCATGCTGGGGGTAGTAATGGTCAAGCTACATGTGCAGCTAGTGAAAACGATGACAAAAAGGAGGATGAAAATGATGTAGATCAGGAAAAGCGAGTGGAGTATGCAGTTCTGGACGATTTAGAGGATTTTACTGACAATTTGATGGAAATAGATGAAGAAGGAGGGTTTGCATCTAAAGCAATCGTACAGAGAGACAAAGTGGATGAAGAGACCCTAAATTATTCTTACGAGGTAAGTAAATCTATCTTGTTTAACTAAAATGTCTATTTAGGAAGGTCTATTTTTACCAAATTGTCAATGTTTGGGGCTCCTTAACCATAGAACATACGCATTTAAACAGTACTGAGACTGGGTGAGAAGTGATGATACCTGTTAGCACGTAGCTTGTGGGATTTACTCATCCCGTTCCTGAGTATGAAAAGAACTAAATTAAAAGCTAAAAAGCATGCTGCCTTGATTTTTAGTTGTAGCAATAGGTATTTGTAGATATTTTTACAGATAATTCTTGCCTTGTTGTGTTAGCAGAGTCTGGAAAGGAGAATAGCTATAGGGCCATGGTATCTGACAATGTATTTTTCAGGATGAATTTGATAATGATGTGGATGCTCTGCTGGAAGAAGGCCTTTGTGTTCCCAAGAAAAGGAGACTTGATGAGAAATATGGAGCAGAGAGTGACCATCAGTCTGATGGAGAAACAAGTGTGCAGCCAATGATGACCAAAATAAAAACAGTTCTTAAAAGTAAGCTACTTACATGTTATCCAGTGGTATATGTGGACATTATCAGCAAAGAGAATAAGATTTACAAATGATTGTAGCAGTAAAGTTAGGGTAAGGTAAAAATGAAAGCGAGCCAAGTATCTAGCTCTTCCTTCCAGGTTAACACGGTTTTAGTAGTTCGCATCCACTGTCCTAAAACACTGATTTACATGTATCTTCAGGAGTATCTCAAAGGTGCTGTCCTTGAATTTTGCTCCTTCATGGAAAGTTGACACTCACTCTACATGTAAAGATATACTTGTTTAATGGACAGGGTTTTTGAACTCTTGAGTTGTAGCCGTCTTTTCCATTGGATTTCTTAGTCTTTCTAAGAGGAATGCTGAATATTCCTGGTCAAATGTATAAATGTGGGGTGTCTCTGAGTATCTGAAAGCAAGTGGGTCATTTAAATGTGAGATCATTTTCACTTTTCTTTCCTTTTTTGGAAAGAAAGGCAAGCAATTTTTCTTCATCACATTTAGAGACACAGGATGTTAGCTGTGTGAGGGCCACAACATTTGCCCGGGGGGGGGGGGGGAGTGGATGTCCCACCAGTATTGTGGAAAATGAAAGTTGAAATTAATGCAGATGTTCACTTTAGAACTATACATCAGTTTTGTTTTTATGTGCTCTTTGCTCCTTAAAGTACTATCATCATAGTTTCACTAAGCAAAGCAAATTGTCTGCAAACTTTGGACATAGGCTGGAAAAGACATTGGTGCGTCTTTTCTTTGAAACTCTGTATGAGATGTCTTGGTGTATTTTAATGGCTTTAATGGCAGCAGAGTTCTTTATAAATCAGTGACCGAGCCTTTGCCTAATGCTAGCCTGGCTATTAACTAGTGGGTGGGGATGTCTCTACTTATTCAAAAACAAGATTTTATACAAGGATTGGAAAGCAGGTGTGCTGAATAATTTCTTTCTCTTTCTCAGGTCGTGGCCGCCCTCCTACAGAGCCCTTGCCTGATGGATGGATCATGACATTCCATAACTCAGGCATTCCTGTATATTTGCACAGAGAATCCAGAGTTGTTACCTGGTCTAGACCTTATTTCTTGGGAACAGGAAGCATAAGGGTATGAAGATTTCATCATTTTGGAAGTGTAAACCTGTTAGATTTAAAACATTTTGCAGGGCTGTGGTTTTTGCCATTATAGTTAGTAAAACATTGCTAACAGCGGGTCTTTGAATTTTTGCATACAGAAACCAAGCTTCATTTTACTTCGGAAATATGTATATATAGATCTGTAAACCACATTAAATATGAAGATCTCAGAATCTATCACCCATAATTAGGATAGAATGGCATTGTTACACGCACACTGTACTCAAAATTAAACTAAGTTTTATTAAATGATGTAGCAGACCTTAAATGATTGGTATTGGAATTAGATTTATTAATGTTTCCCTGTGATCTGATTGAGCAGTTTCAGTATTTATGGATGCAAAGTTTAGGATTATCTGTTTGTCATGACAACTATATGACAGCTCCCTGTTCAGAGACAGGGTGCCATTGAATACCAGTTCCTGGGAGAACTGTTGCATTCAAGCCTTCCCATGAGCCTCCTGGAAGTATCTGGCTGGTTGCTGTGGAAAGCAGAGTCTTCCTGTACTAGCAGGGAGGGGGAAATGTGGGCTACCAAAAGTTAAAGAGAGTTAAATGTTCACAATACAGACATCTGTAAGTGCTGTTGCTGCAGAATCAACTATTCGGATGGCTATTTTGTTGGAGTATGCTGGTAGCAGCGCATTATGAATTGCGCTCAGGTGTATAAGGGCTTTTAGTTATACTTCAGTAACTGACCATTAACAAATAACATCTTGTTGTGTTATTATAATGCCACTTTGTTAATATAAAAATATTGCGAAGTACACAGATCACCCAGGTCTGCTTGCACTTTGGAAGCTTTAGGCTGCCATTGTTCATTTATTTATGCATGTGCACACATACGTGTTCATGCGCACCTTCTTTTCAGGCAGTACAGAAAATAGATGGTCAGCAATCTGTAGAATCAGGCCCAACCGGCTGTATATGTAAAGCAAACATTAGACAACATGATCCATTTCCCAAACTAGAGAAAATTCTCTATTTTGAAAGATTGCATGTAAAAAGATAGCACAGGTATATAATGTACTTTGAGCACCATGGAAATGATAATCGGGTTTCGTAGTTTTGTTCTCATATTTGAACTTTTGTTTGCAGAAACATGATCCTCCTCTGAGTAGCATTCCTTGTTTGCATTATAAAAAAATGAAGGAAAATGAGGAAAGGGAACAAAGCAATGATATTACCCCAAATGGTGAAGTATCACCTGTAAAGCTCACAGATAAGTCTTTAGAATTGAACTGCCAAACTGAGGAGCCGGACTCCACTGCTGCTGATTCTGGGACTTTAGATGAGAAAGACCCGTCGGGGGGAGATGCGGCACAAGGAGCCTTAGGTCAAGTTAAGGCCAAAGTTGAAGTGTGCAAAGATGAGTCAATAGGTAAGTGCTGAAAATGGGCATTTTTCAGGGCTCAGAATCTGACAGTGTTTTTCAGGCTGCCTTATGGTAGAAAATGTGAAGCTCTGGATTTGGAGGACTTTAGACCTAAGAGCTGCCTGGGTTCTTTTTGCGGAGTTTTATTATGTGGATTTACAGCGTTTACTTCAGGTTGTGTTGCGGTGCTGCTCTTGCCTGAGACTGCGGTGGTTAACAAATGGAGCATGCAAAATAAATTCCTATGAAGCTTCATTTTAAATGCCTTTATCATAAATCGTAGAATCCATTCTACCATCCTGAAGTAGTAGAGTTTATCTTGACGTTCTGTAAAGAAATTCTTGTTCCAATGCCATCTGCATCAGGACAGGGCAATTGCATATCAGATCTTATATAGGCTTTGTCTTAAAAGAAAACTGGCAGCTTCTGGTGAAGCATGCAGAACAACCAGGATTTGTTGTTTCTCCTAGAACTTGAAGATTTTAGGCACTATCTTGAAAAACGTTTTGACTTTGAACAAGTAACTGTAAAAAAGTTTAGAACCTGGGCTGAGAGACGGCAGTTCAACCGTGAGATGAAGAGGAAACAAGCAGAGTCTGAGAGACCCATTTTACCAGCCAATCAAAAACTTATTACCTTGTCTGTACAAGATGCACCCACAAAGAAAGGTAGGACGTTTTTATGTATGTATATTGTGACTACTAACCAAGGGTTTCGAGGCAGTTTTATGTTGAATTGGATTTCATTTTCACAGTTGTAATGTTTCCAGTTTTGGTACCATTTGTGTTTTAACACTGGAAAATGTGAAGTTGACTTCTATCTTGGTGTTGGGAGAATGCAGTGGCCTGTCTTGGCCACTGTGGCTGGTTCAATGAGCAACTTTTAGAGCACCCATGGGTTTGTGTATGCCCAGTAGAATTTCTTAATCAACGCAGCTGAATACAGCTCTCATTCTTTATTGCCTGCTTCAGTCCCTCGTCCAGGTATCTCTGCCTGAGCCAACGACAAGACCTGGAAATAGAGTTTGTTGGATTGGATGATTCTTGAGGGGGGGAAGCTGGCCATTGTCAATCATCAGGATCTGTCCTGGAGATGTTTCATAAATATGTTCCAGTACAGAGTACCTGGGAGTGAAGGAGCTAGTGGAGGCACTTGCCAAGAAACCCCTTCAGGTGATGGAGGAAAACCTGCTCTACCTGCAGTGTGCAAACACCGTTATTTCACAGAGTGTCACACAGAACTGTGTAGGCTGTAGCACAGACAGGAGGGACTCCCCTCAAGATGCTAGGAGATTGGCATAGGTTGAGATGTTCTTGAGGCAAGTGGTTCTGGAGTGAGCCTCTAGGACACTCAGAACTGCATACATGAAATGTCTTTATTTTTCTAGAGTTTGTTATTAATCCCAATGGGAAATCTGAAGTTTGTATCCTGCATGAATACATGCAACGAGTCCTAAAGGTTCGACCTGTTTACAATTTCTTTGAATGTGGTAAGTCGTCACATAGTATTTTTGGTAGGGTTTCAACCAGGTATTTAAGAGAAATGATAGCGTTATGTAAGACTTCCTCTTAAATATATTTAATTTCAGAATATAGACAAAGCGTCCAGGATGCACATTGTACTTGAAACTTTAAAAAGCTTATGGAGGATTGGAAACAAAATGTAGTTCACTGTAATGTAACTGCTTTTAGTTTAATTTATGTAAAACATCGTTGTCCTGCTCCTCAGTCTATAAAGCTGTCAGAAAAAGTTATGGATAATTTTAAAAAAGGCAGTCCCTGCTCTCATGCTTCAGATCTAAAAGGCTGGATGCAAAAAACAAAAACGGAATGAGGAAGGCTAAACAAGCTAACGGAGGCCCCGGTCTTAAACATTTAATAAACATGAGATTAAAATGTTAATCATAAACACATTACTTTGGAAACCATAAGACTTTAGAACATTGACAAGCTAATGTGTAATTTAGAGAATCCTAAACCTAAAGGCACATCCTTCAGTAGCGTGTCTGCTGTCTTATTCCACAACTGTGTCTTAAAACTTCTAACATAGCAGATTTTCAGCTGTTAAACTTGCTGATCTGCTGGTTCCATCACAAAGAGATGACGTGCAAAAATGTGAACTTTTATTCCATATACCTATGATGGAAGCAGCCTGCTTGCATAATACAAACAGCTTTTCTTATCTCTCATTGTAAGAGCGAATATTTCTCTGACATCTCAGTACTGTAAGGTTAGGGCTTGTGTACAATATAATGACTTACACTTTTGTCTCTTCGCTTTTAAAGAGAACCCAAGTGAGCCTTTTGGAGCCTCAGTTATTATTGATGGAGTAACTTATGGGGCAGGAACCGCAAGCAGCAAGAAACTTGCCAAGAATAAAGCTGGTAATATAAACATACTGAAGTTACACATATTATCTGTGTTTTACTGCTGTTGGGTAGTAAAGACTGTCCTTACTTGTTGGTTCCCCTGTGCTGAATGGACCACGCTCCATAAAAATGAAAAGAATGTGTTAGGTGTATGTGTGGCTGAAATACAGTACTGCCCGTGAAGCCTCTGAGGAGTTAGCATAAATTGATTTAGACAAATGCCTTGCTTGCTCTTTTCTGGGTAGGAGGGTGGGGGCAAATTGTGATGGTGATGATCAGAATGATATGAACAGTCCCTTGACTGAAGCAAGGCATGGTTATTCATTAGGCATAGCCTTAGGCTGCGCTTTTACTCTGTTTTAACTCCTTTGGTTTTATTATCATCTTTTATCACCCAATAGCTGAAGTTTTCTGGGTAATTTAAGCGATCTTAACAGGAATGCAGTCTCGGGGTAAAGCTTCAGTAGGCCCTGCTGTCCATACTATCTCTTCTTTGCTTCTTTCTACGCCAACGGTGGTTAGCTAGAACCTTGATAAAATGGGGGCAGAGTTCATAACAACAGTGCTTGGTGGTTTGTGCCCGTAGCACTTAATGTCACAACCCTACATGCTTCACAAACAAAGCTAATGTTAATTTTCCAGAGATTTTTCCACAGGCCGTAGAACAGAAATCTCTTCCACACTATAAAAACAGCATGAAAATCTTGTTGCATGATCAACTGAATTCTCAGGAGGACATTCAGACCTGCAGGATACAAGATTACTGCAGCATGTAACCATTTTAATAACTTATTTCCGCAGCCCGAGCTACACTGGAAATCCTCATTCCTGATTTTGTTAAACAGACTTCAGAGGAAAAGCCCAAAGATAGTGAGGAACTAGAGGTATGATATACTGCGCAGGTCTCTGCGTGTTTACTTGGAAGTTCAGTGAGTCTTACTCCCAAGTATGTTTGTCACATTGCAACTTAATTGGGGTGTGAGCCATTGTAATTTTCCTCTGTAAAATGCTACTTCCAGTGAATATTTGGGCTGTGAGGAACGTACTTTCAAAATAATATTTTAAAATGGTTGCTATTAACATTTTTAAATATTGGCAGTAGTAGTCAAATCCCAAAGCCCCTTTTTCTATTTTTCCCCAGGCAGCTGTTCCTAAGAGGCACATCTGGATGCACTTCTTTGTTGCAGTGTGTCTTGTATTAGTCTTTGCCTGTGTCAGGCTCATCAGTCACATTAAAGCTTCCCTGTATTTTAAAACCATTCCTTCTATTTTGTATCCAGAACAGCAAAGTGTGTGTAAAATATGGATTTTCATTGCACTTGACGAAGCTGGGAACCGCATCTGGACAATCGTACCTTGTCTTAACATGCTGGGATACGAGCAGGTTTTGCACCTGTGTGTGCAAGACCTTCCCTTCCATTTTTCAGCATGTTGTGCTTGAGAGTTTGGAAGCCTTTAGTTAACCATAGTTCCATGGATTAAACCACGCACTTAAAACAATTCCAGATAGTGGTTTGAGAGCCTCTTCTGAACCCAGTGACAATAGTCTGAATGCAGCTGTTGTGTGCACCTTGCATCACTTACAGGAAAACGGTCAAGCATCGTTCGCTCGCCCCTTCCCACTCTCCACCAGTCTTTCCTTTTAAGTGGAACTAAATGTATTTGATTTTTTCGACCTTTGCAAATGGTGTTTCACATCTGTAATCACTTTTTCTGTTCCTCCTTAAAATTATGTGTGTTCTAAAACTGCCTCATTAACTGAAGTTGAACCAATGCAATATCGTGCTACTCTTCTCGGATCTTGCCTTTATTTCATAATGCATTATGGCGATAGATTTTTTTTCTGAAATGCTTTGATGATTCAGTGACAACACATTGGCACTGTGATTGCATCCTTGAGACGTTTGTTTTAATGTAACGTCTAAGAATCGGTGTGTGAGGCCATTAAGTGAAGATGATCTCTCAATTTTGTTGCAGTATTTTAACCATATCAGTATTGAGGACTCACGGGTATATGAACTGACCAGTAAAGCTGGACTCTTGTCTCCATATCAAATCCTTCATGAGTGCCTTAAAAGGTAAGGTTGTGTTGATCGAGGGGTGACCCTAAATTCAAGTCCCCTTACCTGCTATGAATGAATACATTAAAAGTGAATTTTATTTTCATGAATAGAAAGCTCAGCTATTCTGTCTATGCGACGGCATTAGCACTATCCATAGCATGACAGAAGGGGCTGAAAGCTGCTGCCAGTCAAATGTATGACAGCATTGGGTTAAATGAGCCAGGGATCTGACTCAGTATAGGATTGCTTCCTTACTTCCTGCCACCCGCCTGCTTATTGAGAGATGTTTGCCGACATCCCTAACATATGACAGCTATTCACCAGCAGTAACTCAGTGTCAGGCCCGTAATAATTTATGCTGGCAGCCTTTGCATTGAGCCAGTGAGTCAGCAATAGGCAGTTCATTGGGCAAGGTTCTAACTCAAGAAAAGGCACCTTCCTGTGTTCTAGCATGATTTGATACTACATCCAGACAGTGAACTGTGGGAACCAAGTTCCACCTGTGCTATCCCATGCAGGTGGAGTAAAAACTTGTAGCAATGCTTTGAGGTCAGCGGTTTGATCTTCCCTCGTGGGAGGAATGCATGCAGTTCTTGTCCAAACAGGGCCCTTCTGGCAATCCTCCTTCCTCTGACACAGCACTGAATAGTCTCCTGGCTGTATGTGAATGGAGGATGTAGCATTTTCATTCATGCACTTGATTATCGGTGGGTCCAGCACAGTCTTGCTGAATTAAACATTTCAAGCCCCTTGATTTACGTGGAGGAGAATTAAGCATGGAATCATTGGGATTTAAATGGTTGGGACTGTGCTTGCTCATAAGTTCGGTTGGAATGTCCATCTTTTTATGCTCGTATTTTTCTCCCCATCCCCTTTTTTTTGGACCATCCCTTTTGTTCTACACAAGTATTGCCAGGAGGATGCTTCTGTTATAAGGGTAGAAGATAACTGTGCATTAGAAATACAACTTTAAACAACTTTTCAATAGACAAGTCCCTCATGTTTGGAAAATCTTTGGGCAGACACGGTTCAGACAGATTCTTTCAATAGATAGCTAAGATGCTAACAATACTCCATTTTTCCTTAAGAAATCATGGCATGGGTGACACATCCATAAAGTTCGAAGTGATTCCTGGTAAAAATCAGAAGAGTGAATACGTCATGACATGTGGGAAACACACTGTGCGTGGCTGGTGTAAGTATGATGGCTACTCCGAACCGGAATGCTGTTCTTTTAATTTGTGCTTGATTTTCTAACAGATGATTAGAGTTAATTTCCTTGAAACGTCTAATGTGTTTATTCCGTCTTTTTGTGTATACCAATGTTGTGACCCTGGGAGCACCACTGCTAAAGTTAAGGGATTGAATTGAGATCAGAAGTACTTAACCAAAGCTGAGTATCTCAATAGGCTTGAGAAGGTGAAAATGCAATCGTACCTATGAAAGTTTAGGCAGGAAAAAGGCCTATAATTCCTAGCACGCCCCTGCTACTAGACACTAGACTTTTTGCTTCACAAATATAATTAAGCAATGCTGGCTCCAGAATTAGTTGCTCAGTTAAAAAGGATTCAGTACAGTTGCTAAAATAGGCAGACCAAGGTATTTCCAGCCCCAACTTCATTTTTCTCCTGTAAATAGTGCCAGACTGTTAAATGTACAATCCAGAAGCCCAATTTTTAAAATACGTTCTATAATTATTATGCAGGCAAAAATAAGAGAGTTGGAAAGCAATTGGCATCTCAGAAAATCCTTCAGCTGCTTCACCCGCATGTGAAAAACTGGGGCTCTTTATTGCGCATGTATGGTAGAGAGAGCAGTAAGATGGTTAAGCAGGTAAGTTACCTCTATTTCTAAAGGTTCGTGTTCTCAGTATTTTAGACTCCTTCACAACCTGAGGGGAAAAAGTAAGCTCCTTTGCTCATCGTACCATTAGTAAATGCTGTAGCGGCAAGGTCTCCTGCTTACACCTGACCACTAAAATAACAAAACATCAGAGGCCTGTGAGGGCACGCTGTGCCATCTGTTCTGCGGGGAGCTTGCATGTGTCCTGTAATAACTGTGGTAAAGGATTAATGAGCCCAGAAGAAACCTTCGCATAAGCCACTGTAACTCTTAGCCTTGCTTGGACCCCTCCTTAGACTCCTTGACAGGAATTGGGAATAGGGCCCCTGCAGCATAAAGTGTGTGAGAAAGCTGGGAAGAACCCCTGCTTTCGTTGTCGTACTCTTATGCAGGAGACCTCTGATAAAAGTGTGATAGAACTTCAGCAGTATGCCAAAAAGAACAAGCCAAATCTACACATTCTGAACAAGCTACAGGAAGAAATGAAGAAATTGGCACAGGAAAGAGTGAGTGTGCACTTGTTTATTTTATAAACTGCTCTTCAGTTCTGAGAACAAGTATTCTAGTCCCACGTACAGTTCTGTCCAATAAACATCTTCCTGAGGCCTTACTAATTGTGTGAGGGGGTGGGGGAATCTCCCAGAATTACACTGAGTCATCCTGTGTGGTTGGAGTCTTTCTTTCCACTGAGGGTGGATCTTGGATCTAACCCTTCCGGTGCTGTTGTGACTGATGAGAACCTCTCTTTGGTTGCTACAAGGGGCTGTTTATTTGCGACAGACTGAGTCTGGCCTTTATTACTGCACTGAAATAGGGCCGTGACAAGCGGATGCTAGTTTGCTTTTCCTGTGTTCCATCTGTGTAGACAACCAGCTTGCACACTAACTTCTCTCTTTAAGCTTCTTTTAAGAGTTCTTAGTTTGATGTTGTCGTATTTTGGCACTTGCATTGTGCGAGCACAGATAACTGTGTGGCCGTTATTGGAAGGCTGACCTCCTCGAATTGGAGGATTGTGAATAGAGACTTCCGCATTCTCCTTTCTGTTCCATTATGGGTTCACTTGCCCTCCTGAGTGGTAACTACTGTTTTGAAGTGGATTCCAGCTGCGTTTGTGCTGAATGATGATTCCAGATTTATTGTGAATGAGCTGTACACTGTGCAGCTTCCTGCAGCCAACCTGTGTTTGCTCACACTTGGCTGCTTCTGCCTCTACAACCAGTTAACAAAAATACTTGTGTGTTGCCTGAGCTGGGGCTCCTAGTTTGTTGCTCCCTTTACAAGCCAGGATTATAAACCAGGGTTTGTTATTAATTTACACATCCTGATTTATTTGGCAAAAAGTCTGGATCCCCAATTCAGAGAACATGCTAAGAAATACCGTTTTGGCTAATCATGGTAGCAAATGGTTCTCCGTGTCTGCACATAATTCGTTCATAAGATTCTCCGGATCCTTGGCTTAACATTCCATGCAAGCCCAGTTGGGGTGTCCCATATTCTCAAGAGAACAAGCTTTTTCTCCTGCTTTAACATTTTTCTAGTAATCAGGATACAATGTGCTAACAGTACCAGAACTGAGTTTTCTTCCTCTGGAAATGTTTTTAAAACCTTGATCTCCAGAGAGAATCGTGTTTATAATTATGGTTGGCTTCTTACATTTTTAGGAAGAAACACGAAAGAAACCCAAGATGACAATTGTAGAATCTGCTCAACCTGGCAGCGAGCCTCTGTGTACTGTTGACGTGTGACCAGAAAGTATAACAATCGGGGAGCAATAAAAACACGAAGATAATTTTTCCAACAATTCAGAATTGGTTTGCTTCAGAATGCAAAATAACAACCCAAGTGGCTCCAAATATGCATTGTTCTTTTGCATCAGGGCAATTTTGCATTTTTTTTTAACTTCCCATCATTAACATTTATACAGAAGAGCAAAAATCTCTGTGGGCCAATGTGTAGAGGGCAAGAGGCTTGTTTGTTCATATAGGATAAAATGAAGCAAGCACGCCTCAACTCCAAAAAGTGTCCATGATTTTTGAATGGATAGGTTTGAAATTTAAATTTAGAATAAGAGTGGAACGAATGTAAAATATAGGAATACGACTACACACTCTTGTAGGAACACGCTGACAACTTTTTTCCCCTGAAGAGCTTTGTTGCATTTCAGCACAGAATAATATGCACTGGTAAGACACTTTCAACAACTACATTGAAAAAAGTGGAGAACCATGTTCTTTAATGCCATAAAAGGTAGGCCAGTTGTGCTGCTTGTTGATGAATTTTGACAGGCCTTAGGACTTTTAACTGTCTCGTATACCACTCTCCTCCTCCTCTGGACAAGAAAAGAGAACACCAAGGTATGGGCCTTTTAAATTGGTTGTCTTTTTTTAAAAAAGCATAGGAAGCCATGATTGTTTACATATAACTCAAACAGACGCCTATGGCTCTTTATTTGCTTGCTACACTGAACCTCGGGTAACTCTGGCTGTGGTTTAGCAAGCACCATGCTCTGCAGCCTCTATTCATTCTGGTGGGACTCATGAGAGAATCCTCCACAAGATGCATCAGAATGAACTGAGAATGCGCATCAGCCGTGTGCTTGGCAACTCAATTAAAGATCCAGCTACACCGAGCATTCCAACAAACACTTAAAACAGAAATCTAATAGCATTTCTTACAGCTATAATCTTTCAGCAAAAGAAAAACTGTTTCCTTTGTGGCTTGACTGTCGGAGGTCAGGAAAATCACTGGAGTAATTTTAACACTTTAAAGTTGTCACTGGCTTTGTTTTATTAAATGTTTAGCATTTTCCGAGTAGTTTCTGCTGCAGAAACTATGAGAATGTAAATCAGGGTGCATCATGGAGGACTTTAATAAGACCTTCTGCATACATTGTATTGAGTTGAAATAAAGAACATAAATATGCAAGTTTTGTCTTATATACAGTTTATTAAGCTGTCGGTACTTGGCTACAAAATACTTTTGGGTAGCAGAAAGATTGCTTTTCTCAGTGCAGCCCAGTAATTTATTCTGGAAATATATCCTTATTTTTTACACTACAAAAAGACTAGAAGGAATGATAGCTATCTGCTTCAGTGCTGCTGACTTTAGTCCCCTTTCCAAAATGTCTCTTAATACATTGTCTTTAATTGGCAGTGGCCATTTGGCGTAGTGTTCTACCTCCAGATGTCCCCTGCTGCAACATGCAGGAACATGCATTAGGAGGCAGTTTATTGTTATACCAATAAACTACTCAGTTGAACATGAGTAGATACAGATGTCCATTTGCAAAGCAATAATTTAATCATGGGGTACCTATAACCACTTGGTAAGCTGCTTGCTTGTATCATAAGACTAGCTTTCTACACCTAATTTGAAATCCAAGGTCAGGTGTAATTCTCTTATTACACAGATGCGTACTCACTATGATGTACATTACTGCTTGGCAAATAGTCATTTTGAATCACTTGGTTTCTCACCACCAATAGAGAGCACTTGGTGTGCTTGGGAAATTGCATGTAATATTGGAAATGAATCTTTTAATGAAACACGATTGAACATTTTCCCAAGCTGTTAAGTGTTGTCTACCGAGCCACAGGAGACTATTTTAGCCAGTTGGAGGCCTCTGTTTTTAATAAGTCATGCTTATTCCTGGAAATCTTCACAGTAGTAATGAGCCCAGGCTAACACCGTGACTTATAGCTGCTGCTACTCAAGCTGATAACTTGTTTTTACCCCTATCTGGCCACAAATAATACTTGCAGTGCAAATGAATTTGCTCCTCAACCGTCTCTCCTGAAGGCATGATCGGCCACCTGTTCCAAATGCACTGCTGCTGTACTACAGATAGTCTAGCTTTAGTCTTCATCTTTGTACATCAGTGGTTTAGTACTAAAAAGTTAATGAAGTCAAATAGGCTCCTTTGCATGTGCATCATCTTTTCGCTTGGGGAAAGGGTTTGTGTTGGACAGCACTTTCACAACAAATTATCCCCACCTATATTTTTTTTCCCAAATAAGGAATGTTTTGCAGGTTATCTGCAGTGTCCATGGATGCATCATTCTAGAAGTATTTGCCACACTGACCATCTTTAGTCTTACCTCAGTCTGCCAAGATCTGAAATCCTACAAAAGTTACCACTGCCCTTAAAACAGTCAGATGCACCGTTGTGAACCAAAGGCTAGTACAAATTATGCATTCTTTAAAAAAAAAAAAAAAAACACGAACGTGCTGCAGTCTCTGGCAAGATGTTCAGACAAAGCGCAATAACTCCTGGAACAAACTATGTAACTGCTGTTGTCACTGTGAAGTATTCTTGTATTTCCGATGTTTACTATTGTTTGAAGTGTAAACAGTTGCATTTGCACATAAGCACAAGCTGCTATGATAGAGGGTAGATTATTACATTAACTTCAGCTTCTGCATGAATACTTATGCAGTGTGATTCAAGACATCAAAATTGTTGCGTAACTTGTAACCTACGTGTGGTTTTTTCTAGTTAACTGTCATGGTTTCGATCCCAACGATGCCTAAAGCAAAACTGCATCAGACCTTATTTCTTTCTCATTGGATCAGTACACTGATACATGGATGGACTTCACTGATAAGCAACCATTCCATCCTCTAGAAATAGCTTTTACTTTGCATATTATGTGCTGCTTGAGAGATGTAAGATACCGACTTGAAAGATACAATTAGTACTTGTTTGAATGTTTAATATTGAGTGAAAAGTTACTAACTTCCATGGAAAATCAGTGCTACCCACTTAAACTACTAGTGGCTCAATTGAAACTAAATCAATTCTAGTGCTTGATTTCCACCTGCTGGAAACGAATCTCTGGTTCTAACAGTCATCACACTTGCAAAAGTATTTCTTTCTAACCCTGTTTCCATTTTATACTAGTCTGTATTCTTGGTTTTCATGAAAGAACGGGGAAATTAATAGCTTCCTGTAGTGTCTGTGGGAACAGTTCCAAATTAAGCCAGTCTGCCTGCCTTTTGGAACAACTTACAGTGATCAATTACAGTATTGTATTTTGAAAATGAATGTGACCAACTTGATGTTACTGGGTGCTGTATGAATTATATGTTGAGTGCAGTTCTTTGATGCCAGTACTCAGTTGGTACAACTATAAAGCCTCTTTTCATTCAGCCTTTGTGTTAGGTCTTTGAATACTTGTGTTCCCCTGCCCCAAATATTAGTTTTGAGCAATAAAGTTTGATATTGCATAATATTCTGATTAACTGGTACTGTGCTTAAAAATGTTATTTCCAGGAAGGGCTGTTGTGGGTTAGCATTGAATCCATGGTCAGTATCTTAAACAGAATTGTCACTTGAGTAAAGCAGATTAGTTATTACACGCATTTTAGTCCATTATCTGAGTGAATTAAAAAGCATTCTTAAAGTATCTCTCTTTGACGAAGTACTTATGCAAGCCCCACCCCATATAACAGGGAATGTCACAACAACTTTATAGATACTTTAATGTTTTAAAATTATCACTTAGAAATGGTTTTAATTTAGCATTGAAAGCCTACGTTTAAGTATCAGGTAGCACTTCTAAGCTGTCGGAATTGCCATAGGAAGGGATTGCCCCTGGGCAGTACCGACAGAGCAGCTTTTAGGCCCGTGTTGACACTGATGTGGGCACCGTACAGTTAAGGAAGCCCCTCCTTCTTTAATTCAATCACAGAAGAGCTGTTCTTAAGACAGGAAGTAGTTCTAAGTACCAAATAAAGCAACAGTCTCTCTGTATTCTCAGGTCTGTGGTATGTTTCTTGTGGCAGGATATGCTTCTATCTGCACACCTCAATCACACTTTAATCTGGAGAACTCCTCAATTACAGCACAATCCCATCCGGTACTGCTAGTTGTTTATTATGTTTGGTTGCGATACAGCTTTGCTCTAAAATATATTTGCCAGTCAACCTTCACACTTGGACATAAAAACCAAGTTCACACATATGTTGAAGTCCCTCCTGCATCAGGTTTGTGCCAGCGCCTTGGCCTTTTGTTACATACCTTTCAGGTAGAGGGAGTGTTTTGTATTCAGAGGAAAATAACTGGCTGTTCATGTTTCCTGAAGCAGCAGCTTCACAATAAACAAATTAAAACGGGCCTGTCATTTGAACTGGGGAGCTGCACCAGCACTAGCCACAACTTCCTGTGGTTGCTGTCTCTTTGGGCAAGTCTGTGTTGTCTTCTTCCGTAGAGGCTGCCGCTTCTGATTGTACCGCGGGGCCTTCTGCCGAGCCTTGCAAGGGTTTCTCTGCTTTCTCGCTTGAGTGCTCTATTCTTTCAAAGAACAGCAGCAATTCATAGTGCATTGTGTGAGGGAAGAGGTCCACTGCCATTGCTTTAACTGGCCGGAAAGGGCTTCCTTTGACACGATTAGAGGGAGTCCGGCACAGGCTACAGGAGGAAACACAGGACTCCTCTTACTCTTTGCTTTTACACTGGATATGTCACATGCCAACTCTTCCCCCCCCCCCCCTTAAAGCCTCTCACTGACAGGAATGACTTTATATTCAATAGTTTTAATAGCCTAGTTCTCAACATAATATTGCAAATGAATATCAAGAGGGACCTGGTTAGGCTTCCAAAAAAATCCTGCCCACCAAGCACCCTTGTAAACTCACTCCACAAAGTTGTTCATGGCAGCTCGCGGATTACAGGATACATAAATGAGCTTCTTTAAGTGTTCTGCTTTTCGAATAGCAAGAATTACTTTAGAATCTGCAAGGACATATTGAGAAAAGAGAACAAGTCATTCTATTTGTCTAATTGACTGCTGTCTCTGACATTACTTGTTTCAACCTGTCACAGTGCCAGCTTTCATACGCTGTTTCCCCACCCTGTCCCTCATAACAGAATGAAAACACTAGGTCTATTATTTGGTTTTGGAGAAAGATGGGAATAAATATATGTAGGCTATTGTGGACCTACTTCTGTGGCATACAGGTTATGTCATTTCTTTAGCAGGCTAAATGTAGGATTTGCGTGCTTTCCTGTCTTGGGATAATAAAGTCAAATTTTACCTTTTGAAGTCATCCAACCTTTTGAACTCATTTTATTCTAGCCAAATAAAGTTAATCTTGTAATTGTAACCAAAACATAAGCAGCTTGACTACTGATTTGTCAAAGAAAATTTTCCCTCTTATTCTTCACATCAATCTTCCTTTATTGTTTGAATGCAAACAGCACATCTCCATCCAAACCCATCCTAAGTTCAGAAAACAAAACTTACGCAATCCTGCTCGTGGAGGATCCACAATTGTAACAGAGTTTTGCAGTACCAATAAGTTAACTAAGGAAGGAACAAGTTCTTCGGCCTTTCCACAGTGCAGTTCAACATTATTCAACTCTAGGGTAGGAAATATATATATATATATATATATATTAGTGCCTATACTAACCTCTGAGTATATGGCATTGTATTATGTGTGTTGTTCCTTGTTCAAGTATGTCCCACTCTTATTTTCCCATAGGTAATCAGGGGCCCTGTTAAATGTTAGGTTTACCTGTGTAAAGAAAGCTAAAGAATAAGTACTTTTTTTTTCTGTTTAGCACAAACTCATTTTTCCTGGGATATGGAGATGGACCCTTGTTTCCCACCATGGTTTCCTTATGTGTTACATAGCTACAAGCTCTAGTGCAGTGCTTCCTAGGTTGAGAAAGCCTGTTCTACACCCTGTGCTCCCTTTGAAATATTCCGGCATCTCGCAAGTGCCCAGGCAGCTTGCAAACCAGGCCTCACTGTCTTGAGTCAAGAACCTCCAGCCACCCCTCCCATTCAGTGGTGGCAGTTAGCGATTTTGAGCTGCACCCTTACGGTGCTGCTATGGCAGTAAATTTGGACTTGTCCGTTGGTTTCCATGGCAGCAATCTCTTCCTGTGTGCCACCAGTTTAGAAAAAGTCACCTTGGCCACCAAGGCAGCCAGAAGTGTGCTTCGGGTAAAAACAATCAGCTGGGGTTCAGGTTCCAACAAGCCCTATTTCCACATTTTTTCCCAGTGTGAAAAGTCCTTCGGCAACACACTGCTGATTTTTATCCTCGCTGCCTCACACACAGGCATAGGGATATAGGCCTTTCAGGAACAGCAGTGCCATGCAGCTGCACCCTACAGTGCTGGACATCAGCACACGGTACTGTCGGACGGTATATAAAAGCTGTAAATAAATAAAATAAATTCACACAGGCTGCGGCAGCGCAGCTAAGAGTTGTGTAGGGAGGATGGTGCCCATCTCCTCTTAGTTCAAAACAAGCCATTCAGAGTAGCCTTCCCCAATCCGGCACTCTCAAGCTGTGCTTGACTACAACTCCCATTGCTGCATGGCCATTGTCCGGCACACCTAGAGGGGATGGGTGGTTTAGACTGTTTCCCCCCCCCTCCCCCCATGGAAACTCACTTTAAGTCTTGGCATTGGAACTCCCAAGCAACTTTAAATTACAATACTGAAAGACTTTGGACTTCTGTCACTAAAGAAAAGAGAAGCCCATTCTTGGAACAGAAGGGAATCAGTAAGAAGTTAATTGATAAATAAAACTATGAATATAATCTTTAGAGTTAAGAGCTTCAGTATTACGTTTTATTTTACCAACCATTAAGCTGAGCATTCACTTTAGCATCTTCCACAGCTTCCTGACAAAGTTCAATTCCAATAACTTTCTTTACTTTCTGTAGGGGAGAAAAGCGATGATGTGCAGGTTAGCACTTGGCTGGCTGTACAAAGAATGCCCGGCAACATGGATATTTCCCTTGGAGGGTTTCTGGACCTCAAGCTAGATTTTCTGTTTGCTTTCTGTTCCTCAGCAAGGACTGTAACCAAGGGTCTGACATGAACAGCTGCCAGAAAGCTACTTGACACAGAAGCCAATGAAGATTGCTTCAGTTAATAAACTTACCAGGTATTACAGCTTTACAGGATTAAACTAGCCTTGAAAGCTAATTTACAAGGGCCTTGTAGTCAAATGGACCAAACTAAAACCTCAATGATCAGCTATTAGGAATCTTAAGTAAGGCCTCTGCTTTCTAAAGCCCAAAGAGAAGTAGAATTATGTAGAGTTCCAAGCAAGAAGTATGTAAGCTGAGTTCCACAAAAGGAAAATCAATATAAGCCAATACAAGAGCAAGAAGCGGGGCAGATTAGTCATTTTTTTGCATTTTCCTTTGACCCAAGATAGGCAAAAAAATACCCTAAAATGTATCAAACTAAGCACCAAATCATACAGGGCTCCCATGTACATTTGTATCCATTTTTTTCTTGAGAAAACCAACCAAGCGAGGACAGAGGGACCACAGGGGTAACCCCTTTCCCACAAGCCACGACTGCAACAAAAAACCATCCAGGGCTACCACTAACACAATAGGCAGCTTCCCTTGTGGGGCAAGTAGCAGGTTTTCGTGGGGCAAAGACTAACATGCCTCAATTCCCCAACTGCAAAGGAAAAAATGGACATACTGAATGTAGTCAACTCATTTATCGTTTATTAGGTCTTAAGATAGGTCATTTTGCAGTAGCCATCTTAATTTTCTTTCATGTGAATCTAAATCCATGTCTTGGAATTTTCAGTACATTGTGCAGTTAACTACCCATATGGCAATGTTTGTGCCTTGAATGACAATTCGGGGCTACTTTTGAGAGACGAAAATATGGTGCCTAAACGTTTTTACCTTGGCAAGTGAAATACCAATTGATCCAGTTCCACAGCAAATATCCAACACTGTAGTCTCTTGGTTCGCCTGGACCCATTCCTGAATAGCTGAATACAGAACCTCAGCAGCCTGTGTGTTTACCTGCAAAATGACAACATAAATACACAGTGTCAGTATTTCCAGCAATGACAGAAAGGCTGGAAATAGCATGCCTACAGTGAAAATTGCCTCTGTCAAACAGGAATTAACCATACCTCCAGGATCAAAATTAATTGATTTAAACAGACATGTTGTTGATTTAAACAGACATGCAAGGCAAAGACCATGTGACAACTGAATATTCCCAGATTCTTTTAAAGCTAGCACTGACCACTAAAGAGAAACAATTCAAAATACAGCCTGGTTTAGACTTAAACTATCATGAATTACATTTAATTGAGCTGCTGTCAATACATCTAATGTTGAAATGAGAAATCGTCCCTTGAAAGCATAAATCCTTTTTAATTAACTTTTGCATCGTGCTGTTCTTCCATAATCAAACTCCTAGATATTCTCCCACCATTCCAGGGAATGATCAGACACCAGAGCCACTTAACTTCAGCAAGATGCAGTAGGATTTTGGGAGAGGCTATAGGGCAGTATGTAAATGAATGAATTAAATAACTAACGTGGGCCTGAAATACTGCTTCCCCAAATACTGCTCTGTATTCTTCTCGCCTAAACCTGCTGCATCAAGTCTCACAAGGATCCCTGTTGACTTCCCAAGGACCAACAAGGCCCGTGCCTTCGTGTCACTGGCCTCTATTCCATTCACACAGCAGGCAGTCAAGGGATGCACCAGCAGATCCATGACTGCAAAACTGCACTTGCCACGCTCTGCAAATCATTTGGAAGAGGTGAGGGGTAGATCCAACTGCACTGTCTTCAAAAAAAAAAAAATTAGGGCCAATCAACCATGCTACCACCAGTGAGAACCACACTACGAAGGCAGGTCCAGTTCACCGGCAGCACAGAAGGATAGACTGAACCCTATTTCTCATAAAGAATGTTTCCATTGACAAAACAACCTGTGCATCACAAGTATTACGTGCAGGTATTTAACTCATTTTTGGAAGTTTCATCTTCAGCAGCAGTTGTAGGGAAAATAAATCTGGGATCAAATTAACAAGGAACGATCATCTTTCTTAATGGCATAAAGTCCACCCCTCTTGGATTTAACTTACGCACCACTGATCTTCCAATGTTAAAACAAGAATATTTAATATGTATTTCCTATGTCCTGTTTGCAAGAACATTTCTATAGCTGTCACAGCATTGTTTTCTGGTACTGCGACTGAATTTCCTGTTTTTAAGACTTAAGAGCAAAACATCAGATATTATTGTCGGAGCAGTGAAGCCTCTTACTGTGCTTGTGTGTTTAGAAGGATGGTGTGTAAACGCTCCCATATTTTCTCTTATTCAAGCCAAAGGTTTTTATGTTGCCCTTCCATTTCTCAATTTTAGGCTGTAGTTTAAACGAATTTCACAAACCCCTTTTTGGATATTTCAGCAAAAGCAATACGGGGGAGGTTGGCAACTTCTCCCACTGCTTGCAGAGACAGTTCTCAGTAAGAAATCTGTGGCCCTCCAGACGTGACTGGGCTAGAACTCCCATCATCTCTCCCGCTTGGCTCTGTTGGGTAGGCCTGATGAGGGATGCCATCCAACAGGGCCTGGAGGGCCAGACACAGTGCTCAGTCAAGAAGTGATTTCAACCAGCAGAAAAAAAGTTCAACCCAACCGTATTAGAAGTTTACTTGGAAAAACGCATGGGGGGAAATCCGGAACTTTAGCCCAAGAAGACCTTCACATATGTACTTGTCACCAGCAATGTGCTCCAAGATTAAATCCTCACGGTTGGGTGACTTTCTGCAGGAGAGAAAGGGGTTGGGGGAGAGGCGGTGTTTAATCGGCATACATCAGAACTGGCTAACCTGTATTAGAATACAAGCGTACAGAGAGCCAGTTAACACAGGAAAACTTCTTAAAATACAGTTAAATTTTTCAAAACTAGTTCCTTATTTCTTTAGTAGTATGTGCAAAATGGAGGAACAAACACAGCTGAGCATGTTTAAGTAATGCTGGTCTTAACAGGATTTAGTCGCACATGCATGTGCAAAGACATGTCCATCCTCTGTATGAAGTCATCATCCAGCCAAACTACCCAAAGGAATTGCAGAGAAATAGGCCATTAGCTAGAGTTCAAGACTAGTGTGTAAGGCCTGTCTATTTCCAACACAATTAACTACAATGCTCTTGAAAAAAAATACACCAGCTGATGGCTATGCTGCAATTTTTCATTCGTCCCGAATAGTTCTTGTATCTGGTGGTGGGACATCCCATGTAAACCGCATGCTAAGAACCCAAGGAAAGTCACACAGGACCAGACCAGCATGGTGGCAAACTAGATGCCCGTCTGGCACTAGTCAGGAGTGCTTTTTATGGACGAGAACTTCTGAATGTTTTGTTATACTGTACAATATTTTTCTGTTTTGTCAGATTGTTCACTGGTTCACATTCTACAATTCTGCCATCCATGCATTATATTGGCATAAATAGTTTCTTCTAGGGATACGGTATTTACCTTTGACCTTCTTCCACAAAATACAGAGAAGTTATTCCACTGTCCTTTCCACTGCCTTCTGTAAAGTACTTGGCCAAAGAAGCCTGCAGCTCAATAAGCTCTTCTTTACTCAACTTCTAGATATTTCAAAAGGAAGAAGGTGCTTAGACGTTTGACAACCTAAGGCGCTACAAGGAAAGAACCAAGTTATGGCTGTTTGCAGTCAGTAAGGATTAACACGGTATGCATACACGTGGTACATTCCCGTCAGGAAAAACTAAACCATGAATAGTTTTTGAAATGTTTACAACCCTGCACTAAAGAATTTCCCCTTATTACATAAATCTTATTCAGTACCTGTGGATTAAAATAAGCGATTGCCATGATGTGGCCGTTCCTACTGGTACGAACTGTTAATTGTTTCCAGTGCCCTTCATAAGTTTCTGGGCTGTAGACATCATATGGTGTAGACCTGCAATGTTCAAATTGTTAAGTTACTCAGGCTGAATTTTAAAAGCGTATGTCCACAAAAACCGTGTGGCATTAAAGGGCCTTAACCCCAAATCCCTTGAGGTGGTTCCCATTTTCCGTTGATAAAAGAAACCTTTTCCTTCTATGAGTTTCAGGGCACTGTGATTTCCAGGTTATTATGGGTATGATCGTCTCTGTTCTCAGTGCTTTGTTCGTATCATTTCCTTAGGGAACGATCTGATGTGTTCTCGCCTGCAAGAGCACTCCCTCTCTACCCCACAAAACCTCTTTTTCTCCTTAGAATGAGATGATTTTTATTTACATTTTTTTTATTTTATTTACATTTATTTATGTTACATTTCTATACTGCCCATAGCTGAAGCTCTCTGGGTGGTTCACATCATTCTAAGTCACCCATCCAGATTCCAACCAGGCCTGATGCTGCTTAGCTTCCAAGATTAGACAGGATCACACACTTCAGGCTATGTGGGGAGAACCTGATCATCAATCATGATCCCACTCAGACTTCACTCAGAGGGGATTGTGGTCCCCTCAAGGAATTCCGGCAGGGTGGTGGTGTGCTTTAAGGCGAAGGTGAGATTTATTCATTTATACAGTACCATCAGAGCATATGGCACAATGCAAGAGACTAGGTCCCTGCTCAGAAGGACCTACAATCTAGAAATAGACACAAGAAAGGGTCATGGAGGCAGGGCTAGGTGGAAGAAGACACAGTTAATTCCTTTAGGAATTAGTTACAGTAGGGAATAAGGCAGGAACAGGTAACCTTTCCGGGTCATGGGCATACTTTGCAATTTCAGAAGCTGTTCTAGACGCCACCACAGAATAGCTGTGGCAAAGGACACATAACTTGTCCAAAAGTCTGACTACAAAGGCAGAGGTGATTTCTGAGCCCCAGTGCATTAACGACGCCTTTCAACCAACCGTTTTCAGCACTAGCAGAAATCTATTTCACGGCAAAAAGTGTGGAGGGAACCTTTGGTATGTACCAAGAAGGCTCAGTGCTGCCTTGGAATACAGGGTTGTGCCAGAGCTTCGCAGAAATGGTGGGATTTCAGACAGGCACTCCTCAGAGTTTCTGTCATTATGCCCAATTAAGACTTACCTTATGTAGTCTTGAAAAGCCTTCACTACCTTCTTTGTAACGGCAGGAATGTGTATGGTATCAAACGGTTCCACCACAGCACATGTCCCACCTTTATATTTGCCAAGGCGAAAACCCACAGTTTTATCTTCTTGATTTGGGCCTATGCCAATCAGAAACTCACATTTGTTGCGATACTCCGTCTAAACACAAAGTAAGAGAAAGTTTAGAATAGCCATCCATGTCTTCCAGAGTTTTGCGTGCCTTTTTGCTTCTTCCATCCCAACATACCTATTGCAAAGTATCAAGCCTTTCAGCATTAAAATAGATCAGGAGAGAGACGCCTTACGCCAGTGCTCTTCACTGCAATGCCCGAAGGTCACAGGTGGCTCCCAGTCACCCCAAGTGTGGCTCTCTGCTCCCTCCCTCCCTCCATCCCATTCCCTCCCTCCCTCCATCCCTGTTTTTGTAGTCGCTCCTCACTCTGTAGTGGGGGAACTATAGTACTGGCACCTTGGTTGTTTTAGTGGTGGACCAGCTGCTATGATCAGACCTACTGGGGGAGGCCTCATGGGTCAAGAGGCCTTCTGTTCCTCAGCTCCAAAAAAGGAAGAGTAGAAACGCAGAGAGCACAAGGGTATGCAACAATGCCAGCTTTTGATTAAATTCAAGCTTACAACTTTGAAACAGAGCCTTCAGAACAACTGTGGGGCTTAAAAAGCCGTTTCCAGCAGTATTAAACAGCTTTGACTGTTATGATATGGGCAACAGATGTTGCAGGGATTTAAGGATACGGCATCTTTCAAAATCCATATTAAGAGACTAATAAACAATATGGTATACATTCAGAAAACTAACCAAAACATAAATTATGTTTATCAGACATTAACCTACTTAGTTATATGAGCAACAGTTATGAGCTGCATCAGCTGTCTTATGAGCCAGAGCTTGCAGATCAGCTATCAAGCCGCTACTTTAAAAAAGCAGCTGTGTGTGTTAGCTTACATTATAGCATTACTTCTTTATTGCCAATGGGAGGATAAAATTGTCTCAACACAGTGCAGCAATTTCCGGACCAAACTGAGATTTTGAACTTACCATAGTTCATGTTCTTAACCATCTTCTCCAGTCTCTGCCACCAGGAGACCTTACACAGACCTTCTATAAATCTTCTTATAAAGTAAAAAGCCATACAACTCTAGATTCTAATAGGCCACACCAAAGTCCCTCACTGGCTGCATTATGGGATGTCTGCCCTTGCTGTCCCATTAAGGATACTCATCCAAACATTACAGAGCTTGATCAACCTGAGTCTAAGAGTGAGATACGAATATGAAATTTCTCCTTCCATGCTTGCGATTCATTTCCTTGCAAGGTTATTAAACAGTATCACACATCATATCAGAGGACTGACCTGTAATGGTGATGCCTTCACTCCCTCCAAGGAACAACACAAGCCATTGTATTTCTCCTTCTGCACAAACAACCATGGCAGCAAAGCTCTGTTGTTGTTTCCTATTTCCCTGCAAAACAGTTCAGTTGTTTACTTGATATAAGGAAAAATACAGAACCAAAGCATGCTTAAAACTCCATCCTTGCAGAAACCAGGGCAGTAAACCAAGACAATGCAAGCACTCCAAATATACTATCATCATCATAAAACAAAAAAGAAAGCTGTCACACCACAACAGACAAAAGCAGCCAGCTATGCAGACTGGGTTACCAAAACAACTTTGCACTGGCATCCATACATAGGGGATTTCATAGCTGGGGCATCACAACCAAGAAGGCCCTCTCTTGTTCAATATATAACATACTCAAAGTCCTTGGAGACAAACACCCACAGGCAGGCTAGTGTCCTGTAGGTATCTGTAGCCCAGTGTGAGCATTTTAAGTCCACCAGATACACATGCATATTTATAGAAGGAGCACCCACATTGTTAAAGATGCTGTATTAAAAAAATTGAAAAGTCATAGGCCCAGCTGTCATGTATAAAATCTACAAGATACAAAAGGAAAAAGGCATAAGGAAGAAGCATCCCATATCAATACACCAGCCTTCAAACTCATTTAGCATCTGTATCCTCAGAGCATCCTTAAGTCATCGATGGACTTTTGGGAGGGCTCTTGCCACAAGTTTTTTTTAAAAAATCTGTATTTCTGCAGATTTGGGGGTCCTCTAAAGCTTTTGGATAGCTCCCTTTGTGTGTAGACAATGGCGCTGTTTTGTCCAGCACTTGGAGAATTTAGTCCACTAGATGTTTATGATACTGCATATGTATCCCCGATATACATACATATATTAAAAAGTTACCGTGTCAGCTTGAACAGCACTTGCTCGCATTCCTGCTTCTTCTTGCAAAGCTGTTCTTCGTACGAGGTATTCCACAGAGGGGTCACCACATCTGCTATCTGCTTGCTGAGCGGCTCTTCCCTGCTCTCGCTGGACAGCGCCAGGCACTTGGCCCCTACCTCTTCTTTGGTCTCTTCCCCCTCTTCCTCTTCTCTCCTCTTCTTTTTTACAATGGGATCAGCCTTAGGCTTCGCCAGCCTGACGCTCAGGTTTTGTTTCTTCCAGCGGACACCGTGAAGGACCTTCATCGCTTTGTCCCTTTCCTCCTCGCTCTTAAAGGTGACAAACGCAAACGTCTGTTTCCCCAGCAGCTTTATCTTGTGAGGGTTCAGGCCATATTTGGCAAGGAATTTCTTTACTTCGCTAAAACCAATATATTTCGGAAGGTTCTGAATTTCTACTTTATAAATCTCTGACGTAAATAAGTCATCTTTAATATACCTATACATGTTGGAAGAATCTGAGGTATTCTCCATGTTGTTACTTTCTCCCACAACTTCTTGTTCTGGTGCAGCTTCCATTTCCACAAGAGGAACAGCCCCTTCCTCATCATCTACACACACAGAATTATTTGTTTCCATTTTCTCCATTATTCTGCAAAGAAGAGTAATGGCATCAAACTCTTAATGTATGCCCTGCTAAAAGAGTAGCCAAATCATGTTAGGATACCCATGCGAATATCTATCATACATATCCCATCATGCCCTTGTTTGAATGCTAGGATTGCCAGTAGGGGGAACATAGCCCCAAGAGAGCGACCTTAAAATCCAGCATTCCTGCACAGGAAAGGATTGAAAAGAGCAGGCGTGAGCGACTGTTCAAAGGTTAATCATAGCGCACGTCAGTGGCACGGATTAATTTCTATCCGTGCTCCTTTGAGCCAGAATTTGTGAGCAGAAAGCTAACATGGCTGTCCAGTAACATCATTATTATTTATTATTATTATTATTATTATTATTATTATTATTATAACATTTCTAATTGTGTTTGCTTCACTTATGTCCTGCTTTTTCCAAGTAGGCCAAGACAACGCATTTGATCTTCCTCCTCTCCACTTAATAATAAAACATCCCTGTGAAGGCGGTACGGCGAGGAGTGGCTCAGGAGAGGCTTCGTGGCTGAACGGGACGCAGCATCCATCGTATGCTAAGCAGATCGAGCCCGGCATTCACCTCCTGCCCGCCCGCCCGCCCGCCCGCCCGCCGCGGCTGCCCAGAAGACCCCCACGGGCAGGACCCGGGAGCACAGCACTGCTCCGCCCATGCTCCCCAGCCACCGGCGTCCATGGCCATACTCCTAGCAGGCGGGGGGTCGCCACCGTCCTCCTCCTCCTCCTCCTCCGCGAACGTGCCCGGCCGGCCCCCGCTCAGAGTCGCCCACGGGGACCGCCCAGCCTCGCGCCCGCAGCGCCGGATCCACCGCGGGCACAACCGCCGCGCCGCGCCCCGCCCCCGCCGGATCCCACCCGCCGGCGCGCGCGCCCGCACCTCCTCCCGCTCCACCGGATCGCCGCCCGTCACGCGCCGCGGCTGGCCCAGCGCCGGGACCCTGGCCGGGGGCGTGGCTTCGGCGAAGGGGCGGGGCGAGGGGAAGCGTTCGGCGCCGTCGCCTCTGCTCCCCGCGCGCCTGCGCGGCAGGGTTCTGCGCGCGCGCGGGGGGGGGGGTCTCTTTTATCATTTTTGGAAGCCTCCGCTTTCTTTTGTGGGCGGACGGGGGGGCGCTTTTCCTATGAATTATTGTTCTCATGCCGGTCTGAAATGTCCGCTTTCTCTCCCTAGAAGTGACGCGTGAATCAGAATATAGTGGACGTCATCGCCGCTCGCGGCGCGCGGCCTGATGGGAAAAGCCCGCACGAGGCCGGGCGAGGGGGGTGGCGCGCTGGTGGTCCGCGCAGGCCCGCACATGGTTACTTCAGAGTAAGCCTCGCTGCGGGCACCAGTAAGGACATTTAGGCAGCGGTGTCTATACCTTCTTTTGTGTATACAAGTCGTGTGGCGAGAAGGCGTTTTGCAGAGGAGTAGCTGCTGCGGTTGCACTTGGGGGCCAAGGCTCAGGCCCCGGAATTCGAGGGACCCGAGAGGCCACCCAAGGGGGTAGCTCGGAGCCGAGGAGGGTAGCGGGAGCAAATTGCGTTTTGTTCCGAGTCAACATAGCACTATGGTTTGATTGCGCATAGGCAAGTTTAAAAAAATAAAATAAAATGGGCTCAGGTGCACGGTCACCTCTATCCCCAGTCCCTGCCATGGTGCATCCCCGTTCACAGTAAGGGGGCGGTTGTCCCACTGGGAAGGCCGCAAGTAGGGAGCGAGCGCAAGGTCACCCTCCACCCGTGTTCCCCCGCAATCGGTGCGCATGAGCATACTGCTTCTGATCCTGGGGACACCATATAGCCTCCTCCTCCATGAATCCGTCCCAGTTCCTTTTAATACCATCCAAATTGGATGGCCTCTGCCGAATCTCGTGGAAATGCATTCCAAGGGTGAACTTGCGCGGTGTGAAGAAATCCTTTTCTTCTGCCGCGAACCAATCCACTTCGTGGGATTACCCTATTAGGAGAAAGGGAGGCAACACGTCTCCCAATTCACTCTTCGCACACCAGGAAGAATCCCGCACTCCTCTGCCACGCTGGCTGCAGTATTGTAACCCTGCCCCGAAGGCTTCGGCTATGGGGCGCTATATAAATGAATGTTAATTCATTGTTAATAATTAATTGTTAACTGATACTACTATCGATATCGGCGATGATGCGGGGAATTCTAAGGCCCCCAAGCATGCCCAGAGTTAGGCCCTCGACGTGGCCAGCGCAGCATCCCTTCCACCCGCGCCCCGCCGCGGACTCCCACTTCCCGGCGGGCGCTGCGCCTGCGCCTGCGCCCCGCGCGTGCGCCGAGGAACCCGAGGGCAGCCCTTCCCATCGGCCCCCGCGATAACGGCGCGGGCTGCGGGAATAAGGCGAAAGCGCGGGAGGGGCGGGGGCTGGGCGGGGAGGAGCCGCCGCCGCGCGGAAGGAGCGTGTGAGGCGCGCGGGAGGCCGAGAGGCGGGCCAGCCAGCCAGCCAGCAGCCAGCCAGCCGCGAGCGCGCTCCGCCGGGAAAGTCGCGCCAGCGGCGGGAGGAGAGCGATCCGCCGTGACGTGACGGAAAAGGGGCCTGGCCGTGCAGGACCCGCCGCCACGCGAGCTCCGCCATGGCCGAGACGAAGGTGAGGGGCGGGCGGGACAAAGCGCGGCGAGGCGGCCTCGTGGCGGCGAGGCGGGCGAGCCGGGGCGGCGGGAGCCCGCGGCGCTCGGGGGAGAGGAGAGGAGCGGGCCGGGCTCGGCCCAGCCCGGCCCCTCCGGGCTCCATCCGGCCTGGCGCCTTCGCCGCGGGCGCGCGCGTGCCCCGGGAGGCCCCCGCGGGTGTGGGGAGAGGCGGCGCGAGGGGAGCGGGAAGGGTGGCGGCCTGCGGCCTGGTGGCCATTTCCCTCCTCCTGTGGCTGCCTCGCCTCTCCTGCCCCTCGGGAGGCCCGAGGTGCCGTCGCGGCGTGTGACGAGCGGGTGTCTCAGCGTGCTCCCCTCGCGGAGCGCGGCCTTCCCCGTGCGGAGGGGGAGGCGAAGGCCCCCCCGCGCCGATGGCCCACGTGGCCCGCGTGCCCCGGCGAGCTCTCCTCGGCGCCCCTCCTCAAGCCTGAAACCCCCGTCCCCACGAGGGAACCCCGCGAAAGCGCAGCCGGACTTCCTCGAGTCCCAACGCTTGTAGGCGGCTTAATCTCGGCTGTCCAGATTTGCCCGGGGGTAAAGAGTTGTGTGCATTTACTCGGTTTGGTATCCTGCCCTTTGATCTCTCAAGGTGGCTTGAGCTTCTCTCACACCTGGTATGGCTACTGGATAACACCCCCCCCCCACAAAAAAACCCCAACCCTGGTTCTTGTTCCACAAAATAGTGGAACAGATTCATCGATAAAATGCACATAGATATGTGGTGTAAATCTGAGACGGCCTGGCTCTTAGGACGATGCTTGGAGTAACCTTTAAAAAGCTCAATATTTCCCGATCAAATATGGGTATTATTTTGAAGAATGTTTTATTGAATTCCAGTGGAGCCTCCACTCAAAGTAAGGTTTGGTAATGTGCGAGTTGCCTCCTCTAGGCTTGAATGATCTCCTTTACTGTGCGTGCATGTGCACAAAATGGGGGCAGGGAAGACGGTCTTTTGGCTCAGCATGGGATGTAATTGCATCCTAACAGGATTTCTAATTATTCTATATAATGATTCCCATACTGGTGCTAGTTCTTTGTGGGGGTGTTTTTTAAACTGTAGTACAATCCTGTGCTTTAAAAAAAAGCCAGGAAGGAAATCCAACTTTCTTGGATTTCTTTTAAAGGTAAATTTGGCCAGTTTTGCTGCTTAAGTCTGCTGCAGCAAGAGTTTTGTGGTTTGTAACATTTGTGTAATGTTATAATGTATTATTGGCAGGTGTAGGGAAAAAGGTTTATATCTCCTAACTGAGGATAATATTTCATGCACCTGATAAAGAGAGCTTCAGTTCAGAAAAGTTTGAAACTGAAGAAGTCCTGTTAAGGAGACATCTTACATATGTTTAGGCAAGAAAAAAAGTTTTACAATTCCCATTGTTCCTCAACTCTCATGATTGTCTGGAAAATGCTGGGAGTCTTAGGACTGTTTTTCTATCTAAACATACATAGAATTATGCCTTTAATGTTTATGCTCCTATTTTAAAAAAATCTCAGTCCATTGATCTATGCTTAGAACCTAAGAATTTGCAGTTAGATGTTGAATGCATTATCCAGGTTTGATTTCTTTTTCGCCCAGCACAACATGTGCACATCTGAGGGCAAGTTGACCTGGATGTAATAATCCTGCGGTTTCAAAAATGCTGCACTGTTATTGTTCCTTGTGTCCTAACATGATTAAAGTTTGGCATATCAGTCAGATATTTTCTCTTCGCTCCCCTTCCCCTTTTGATGGTTCTCCACTACAAATTGCAAAATGCAGCTTTTCTTTTGTATCACATTCTGATTATATTAAGTACATAAACAAATCCTCAGTGTTGTATCCATCAGTGTAACAATGATATAACTTAAAGTGCACTAGATTCTAGACCTGAAATTTAGTAGACTGGGCTACTGTAAGAAACAGGTAATTGTGGTCTTTCACAAGATGTGATGGTCTATTCGAACACAAATATTTTGTTTCGGTCCTTATATAATATAGTAGCATTAGGAGAAAGTGTATAAAATGATGGATGCTACAAAGAGTAGACAGATTCCCCCCACTCTCACTTCTTAGTATTAGAAATCTGGGTTGATCCAGCATAAATTGTAAGAATTAGGTTTGGAATATACAAGAGGAAGCACTGTTTCAACACATAGTTAACTTGCAGCACTTAAGTCCCTGGAGTAAGGTGCTAGCCAGCAGCATAAATAGGCTATGCATATTCATGCAACTTGGCTCTGTCCATTGCTGTTGAGCATGATAGTTTAATAGAACTCCCATGTTCTGATGCCATACACTACGAATACCAGATTTTGAGAGGAGAGCTGCTGCTTCAGTGTCCCACTTCCCGGACGAATGTGGATCACAGAATGGTGTACTGATTCTCTGTCTAATCTCAGTGCTATTGTGTCCTTGTAAAATGTTTTTTGAAGCAACCCACAGGGATATATTATAGCTGAGTCAATATGTATTCCAAAAGTTTGCCCTGTTATTATAAAATCAGGCACCTTACTTAGTATCCTTCAGGCACCAGACCAAAGGCCAAGCTCCTGCTTCCTCGCAGCTGGTGCTGAAGGATTCAAGGAGGGGAAGAGGCTGAGGCCACAGGCTTAGAACAGTTCCAACCAGATTTCACCCAGAAAAAAACAAAAAGCAGCAGCAGCGACTGCCACAGCCTCTTGCTGGGTATAGGATTCACATAAGTCTCCAAGTTCAGAGGGTTGTACGCATCTGCAATGGAAGCTGCAGGATTGTGCCATTAAAATTCCAGTTAAATTGGTCTAGTTCTTAGTCTACCCAACATGAAGCCTTAAGGTAGAGTTGAGCGAAGCCTAGTCAATATCACAGACAAGGGTCTGATTAGGGCTTCCATTCAGGGACATCAGCCCTTGTGCCTCACAACAGCTTTCTCTTATCCTGCAGGAGCTTAATGCTGATTTACATTCCTCTGTCTTTCTTTTTCCTGTTGCATAAAAATGCAACTTCTTTCTCAAATACATTCAAATATATGTATTTTTTTCTAATTGCAACTTGTGTTCTCTGCACATCTTGGGTTTAGAATGGAGAGGGAAAGACAAGCATACTCATCAGCCTGATTACAGTGGCTGCAAGACATTTGGGCACGCAGATCGCATAAAGAGCACATACTGCAAATTGTTAAGATTTGCTCTCGGACATGGCTGTGGGTCTGCATTTTCTATGTATTAGAATGGAAGGGAGATTAACAGGATAACTGTAAAATCTTTTTCTTTGGAAGCATCTGCTTTGCTCTGACATTTTGAACTCAGAAGTTAAATAGCAATGTGTATGAATCTGTTACGTTCCTTAGTGAGAGGAATGTAACTATCGTTTATTTCAAAGCAACTTAGAGAAATGGCATTAAATTGGTTTACCACTACTAAAAAAATATGAATTTTTTGGCTCATTTTTCTTGGATATGATTGAGTTGGCTCTTTTCAGGCAGTTAAATGTAGTGGCCCTTTAGCAGTTTTGTTTTAAACACATGTGAGATATCCATATGTTGCTCTTCTTTACAGGACACACATGAGGAACACGACTCAACAACTGACAGTGTAGATGATTCTAACCACGACCCCCAGTTTGAGCCTATAGTTTCACTTCCTGAGCAAGAGATCAAAACCCTTGAAGAAGATGAGGAAGAACTCTTTAAGATGTAAGTAGAGCCGTGCTGCATCAGTAAATCCAAGTGTACTTAGTATGTTGTAAAAGAGAAACTAAAGGTTCCTGTCAGCGCGAGGTATTCAGCCACAGAGGAAAACAAAGGATCTCAGTTCATCTTAAGAAATTCATTTTAAAAGATTCGATATAATATCTGATATACAATTATGTGCATAACTAACTTATGCCTTGGTGTTTTGTTTTTCCATAAAGGCGGGCAAAGCTGTTCCGGTTTGCATCAGAAAATGATCTTCCAGAATGGAAAGAGCGAGGCACTGGTGATGTAAAACTTCTAAAGCACAAAGAGAAGGGGACCATTCGTCTCTTGATGAGGAGAGATAAAACCCTAAAAATCTGTGCAAATCATTACAGTATGTGATTTGGTATCTGGTCCTTCTAGTAAAATAGAACTGTGGAGATGCTTGTACATTTTCCTAGGAGAGCAACAGAGTGAACATAGTGTACCCATAAAGCATGAAGTATACCTGAGGATATTTGTAGATGAGGCGAAACATTTTTGTATGGAAACCTTCTGGGTGTTGAGACATCTTTATGGACATGTAACTAAAATTTTCGGCTGAATTGAAGGTGGAAATGATTATAAAAAGAACTCATCCATCTTCTTCTGCTTATTGAAGGCCCTGTAGATAAGGCCGTCACAGACTAATACCATTTTGTTCACAGTGTGACACAGGAACATGCCGGTAGCTTGAAGTGAGGCAGCTGAACTGCCCCATACAGTGGAAGTGGGGGAAAGTTGGGTTCCCAGTCAGTGGTTGTCCGATCTTCTGCTCAAACCTATGCAGCTCTGAAGAGAAATAACAATGAAAAAGTCTTTGTAGTAGCATTGAGCAATCAAGCTCTAAGTGGAGCCAGTAGTGTTCTGGAATGCGATCTTAGTTATGAATACAATCCAAGTATTAATCTTGCAGTGTCTTGGGGCAGACAAACGCTACGCCGGTTTACTCTAGTAGCACTTGTGCTCAGTGATTCTCTTTCTCTGCTCTCTTCCCGTATCTCCTAGTTACACCGCTAATGGAGCTGAAACCTAATGCTGGCAGCGACAGGGCCTGGGTGTGGAATACACATGCCGATTTTGCGGATGAGAGCCCTAAACCAGAACTTCTGGCAATTCGGTTTTTAAATGCAGAAAGTAAGTAAAAAGCAACTTAGGGTCACTGCGTGCCTATTTGGTGAGGTCCAGACTGTACATTCACTTACCTAGTACTTTTCCTGTTCTAAGACATAATATTCTCTGGGTTGGTATTTTATTTATACTTTGACAGGCGGAGCTTACTATGGCATCAGAAGTGGATCCTAACCCAGTGGTTTTAGAAAGTATAAATAGTCTTGAAAGGATTGTGCATAATATAACAGTTTTCTGCTACCTTATGCAAACGACAGAACAGCACACCCAGTGGACTCCCTCATCTGTACTTGCTTTTACATTAATAGAACTTAATCGCTTCTGAAATCTTTGCCTCCCTTAGCTGATGAAAAGAAAGGTATTTATGATCACAGGTGTTTTTCTCCTTTTCTGTGTATGCAGAGGGCCAGGTGCTGCTGTTGGGGACAGAGACCTGGGCTATACCCAGTAGCAAATCATGGTTTGTTTAACGCTTGAATTATCAAGGATGTGTTCAAGGAAGCACACTGCATTCTTCTGCTCTCCACTTCTGCTTTGTATCCAGTTTCTCAAACGAACAACAACATTTAAAAACCATGGGCTCAAACTTGGGATTGTCTTTCATCAAGCCAAACGTTTGGGTCCAGACTTCTCAATCCTGGGATGAGGTATTCCTGGGTTCTTTGAGAAATCGGATGCAAAGCAGAAAGTGAGTGAGAGGCAGTTTGTTCTTGCATCTTCCCAGCAACACACAGTTCGATCCATGGGTTTTTATTACCTTTAAAATAGGTTTAACTGGGATTACTGTTTTTTTCATCTGCTGTCTTGCTAGCTTTCAGGTTCTGTAGTGTCACCTTTTTGTTCTGTGCCAGTGAAAGACACTGTTGGCTCTTGCATAGAGGCTATTCAAGTTTGGGGACTTTGTCTGTGCTGATGTGAACTCTGGTTTTTGGGGTTGAGAAAAAAAAGCAAGTCAGGCACTGTTCCTTGAATACACATGCCTGTGTTTTTCTGGTTTCCTGGACAATTTCCTACAGAAGAGGGGAAAGTCTCCCTTTTTTCCTAATGAATGAAGTGTGCAACTTTGTCTGGTATCGAACAACAGTGACCTCAAGTGGCCATTAATGCTAACTCAGCGGGACGCGGCTAAGGCAGCCACTTTCCAAATTGAATTACATTGATAGCATGCAATTTTAATTAAAACAAATTGTCACTTAAAACGGTGCATGTAGCCATGGTGCTGGATCACTAATTTCAAAATATTGTGATTCTTTGTTCGGACGAAGGGGCAGGCTGCATGTCATTGTGGAGAGGGGCCCGTCTTCAAAGCGAGGACTGGTGTGGCAGGGCCATGGGGCATGCTGTGAGCCACACGCGTGCATATGGAATTGGTTAGCTTGCAAAGTCTAGATGTGTAGCGGCCAATTGTTTGCAGGGACAATGAGCTGCTTGTGACCTATTGTTTACTGTCTTTATCCATGCAGTGCGCTAATTTTATTTTGCTTCCATAAAACAGATGCACAGAAATTCAAGGCAAAATTTGAAGAATGTAGGAATGAGGTTGATAAGGGAAAGAAAGGTAAAATTTTGAGATAATTTCTTGCTTGTTTTCCTCTGCTAAGTGAATTCTCAAGTCAAGAGATTCAAAATATTTTTTGCAAAAGTCTCTGACCAGTCGGAGTAACAGCTGATTTCTGTATGCCATCTGTATCAAGTATAAGATATTTTTCACCCATGTAAAAGATGAAGAGGCACTGAGGTGAGGCTGTCTTTCCCCTTTCCGTCGCCTTCAACACTACAGTGAGCATCTTTGAATTCCCACATTACTGACTTATCTTGCTTGTGCCTAATGTTACAGGATATTTTTAACCATACCCCGACACCTTGACAATATCAAAGTGATACTGAAGCTTTGTGTGTTGGAAGTAATTTCCATTCCCAGCATCCCGTGAGTCTCTTTGACAGGCTAGTTCTAGCTTTTGAGTCACATTGAAGGTATCCCAAGCCACACTGTGGCTATCTAGGACATTCCGCGCCTTTCGTATACTATGATAGTATAGGAAAAGGACACAAATCTATGCATGTTCTCCCCACAGGCAGAAAAAAACCTATTATATCTATGAAATACTCTGTTTTGAATGTTGGCATCATAAGCAGCTTGTACTCCATCTTTGATTGTGTTCATGCCTCCCTTCTGCCATTTCAGAGACAAAAATAAAGGCACACCATCACTATTCAGAGCTGCCGCTCCCTCTCAGTATGGGAGTGGGACTTACTCTTCCCATGTTAGGGGGAAAAATCCAGAGCTTGCTCTACATTGCTAATTTGTGTATTAGCATTAATTTATATCACACTTTTTGGGGTACAGATCCTTCCATTTACAAGAGTAACATCAATGTGTGTTAAAGTAATAAAGACCATAGCTATATATACCATTATATATGGGTGGAGCCCCCTGTTAAGGAGTGGGAGGGAGCAGCACAGCTGAGGTCGGCCCTGTGATGGGTTTTGCCTGCATCCTGCAGTTGTCCTCAGTTAGGCCAGAGACATACGACCCTCTGAGTGAAGGGGCTGCCCAGTTCATGTGTGCTTTGATCTTTTCTTTACATGCCTTCCTGGCTTTCCGATTGCCCAGGGATGTCACAACAAACAAGTAGTTCTCCGCTATAATGAATAGAATTACTTGCCATCCAGATTCCTACGGTCATGTTGAAAGCTCTTTGCTCAAAAAAGGGGGCGAGAGGCTAGGAACCTGTTCCTGAAAGCTGCACAGCGTTGCATTGTGGTGGCTTCTTGGTAAATCTTAATGTGTTCAGGGTTGCATTTTAGAAGTAAGCAGTTTGTTAATGCTTGTTGGCAGACTCACTCTGTGCTTGACTGCAATAAACAGTCATGGTGCTTTTTCCGTCTGCTAGAATAATAATCCAGGATGTTGTGAACACTTCTCTACTTATGGAAGTCTGTTTCAATTGATCTTGGTACATCAGAGGTGCTTAGTAGTAAACCTGTATGTTTAACATGCTTGTCTTTTTTAACTTTTAAGGAAAGTCTTGATGCTAAACATAAAGTGACATGTTTTCATACAGCTTCATCATAGGTCTGTGTGAATGCCAACACTTGCCTACTAAAATAGCTTAGAGCCCCTTGAAGGACTTCATGTATATTTAAAATCTCAAGTATGAGCCCTGGTCTGCAAAGATTTGCAGACTCTGAAAACAGCCAGTGGTAGGACTCTTGAGTCATAACATTACAGTGCGTGTTATCAGCCCATACCAACTTAGGAAAACAACCCATCCAGCAACAATACCTAACAGGCATGTTGTTTGTGTAAGCACTTCCTAGTGTACCACCAACACCAGCAAATACTACTGGTGTTGCAGCTCAGAAGTCGCTTAGATTAGAGCAATGCAATCTGTGTTCACACTAGTGCCCAATACGTTACTGCCTGCCGTACTGCACTGTGGTAGTATCCTTATTACAGGCAGCTGTTTTAGGTAAGTCAGTCATCCCTTCCCTGCCACTCTAGGCTGCAGCAATCATCTTTTTCCTAAACTCAGTATCTTTTCGTTATCCTGCTCCATGGACCCAAAAAAATTTGGGTCCATGGAGAGGGCATTGCGTTTTACCAGTTATCCTACCGAGCAGATTAAGAAGTAATGTGAGAGTTTGCCAAAACTGACAAGTGCGGTGAACCTGCGTGGTATCCAGATGCAGCCCTTTCCATCCCGGCTGTGCCACGTAAAATAGGAGTTTGTTCCCTAGCGGCTTCACTGTAACATAGCTTCCTGTTTACACCTACCATTCTCTAATGTTACTTTAAAACATTTTTTAGCAGGAACAAACAAAAATGATAGTGCTGATAAAGTTGCTGAGAAATTAGAAGAACTTTCTGTAAAGGAAGAGAGCAAAGAGTTGGAGAAGAAAGAAGTCAAGGAGAAAACTGAAGAAAAGCAATAAATCATTCTGGGCCTTGTGTTTTCTTTTTTCTTATTTTTTTATTTTTCAAGGGACTTTATAAAGAACTGTATTCCAACATTCAATTTTTTTTCTAAGCTTTTGCCCTTTTTGAAGAGATCTTCAGAAAAAACCATTCCCCAGTCATGAAAATGTACTGTGCTAAACTTTCTTTTCCATAGTGGAAACACTTATTTATAGTCATCCAAGAGAGTGAATAAAGCTTTGAAAATGGTATCAAAGGACAGAAGTGAGTTTTCTATATGCTTCAGATGTGTGACTGCTATTATTACCTTGGGTTATATTTTTGAGTGCATATCTTTAGATGGGATGATGTAGTATAACAGAATTATACCAATAGGAAAAAAAGTGCAAGTAATAAAGATGTTTTTCATATGTTGTGACTGAAAGCAGTAATGACTGAAACAAGATCCTCTATGCTAAGATTCCTTTCCTTGTAATTGGAGGTTTGAGTGAAATTGCGTGTTTTTGTGCAGCTTATTAAAGAAAATGGTATGTCCCTTAGAATGTAATGTCATAATCCTGCAGTGGCCAGCTATGTATTCAACATACTTGTGGTTTCTAATGGTCACTTGTAGATGATGGAGCAAGACAGAACATATGTTTTGGATTTGTCATGACTGAAACTGGGTCTTGATTGGCAATTATGCAACTTTGAAGAATCTTTTGATGCAGAGCAAGAATGTGTTGTCCAGAAAATCCTTCTGGTTTTGGGGCATTTTATGGTAGAGGTGGGCCACGTGGTCTGGTTTGACTTTCTCTCTCTCTCACCTCTTCAGCCTATGCCTTTCCTTGCAAGTAGCACAGCTATTAAGAGTTGTGTGTTTGTATGTCCCTTTATGTTTTGCTGTTTTCATACCCTGTTGCTTTCTGGGGGAGATGGGCGAAAATAACTTCAGGCTGTAAGAAAATGGGTGGTCCTTTTCTAACACCTTTGGTGTACAGGAGTTAACATTTGAGCATAACCCAATCAGACTAAGAAAAAATTGGTTAGCCAAATTGAACTTTTAAACTTTTTAGTATTATATACTTAAATGCTTACTCTAGGCTCCTTATTAAGTGCCATGGATGGTAGAAATGGTTACCCTGTTACGTTCATTGCAAAGGAAAAGTGTCTCCATCCAGGTACATCAAAGGGTGTTTGTATGCAGATCCAGCATACGGGGGGGTGGTGCTTATGCTGCTAATGATAGTTTTGCATTTCATACTGCAAAACACGCAAGTCAATCAGGAGTGTAGGGAAGAGAGATTCCTGCACCAAGCTCATAGTTGCACAGGTTTGTGTTTGGATCGGGCTTGTTTACATCCAAGTCCTCTTGTATAAATTTATACTGTCCCACCTCTGCTTGCTGTGTGATTTCTCCAAAACTGTGTAGGCTATACTGTATGTATGAAGTGAGAATTGCTAATGCAGAGTCTGTAAAGGTCCAGCCGTCTCATGTCAGGGCACACTCTCTTGTGCGTATGGATATAAAACATTCCTCTTGTATGTCCAGCACTCACTTTGAATGCGAACCCTTCTACATTCAAGCGATAGTCCAGATTTCCATTTGGACCATATCCCTGGGCTTTAACATGAACTATAAATACTTCCTTGATTTATTCTCCAATAATCGTACTTGATTTTTGATGCGTGTTCACTAATTTCTTCCTGTTAATTGCACATCTAGTGCATACTGTTAGCAGCCTAGTGTATTGCACTGTTGTGTTTGGATCTTAAGTTTGAGGCAGTCAAGACAGCTAGAAAATACCCGAACCTTCCTTTGTGCATGGGGTGACCTGCGGAAATACCTCAAGTGGTTTGTTAGGGACTCTCGACAGTATATTTGATAGCATTGTATTTTAAGGTGGAAGGGCATTGTCTTTATCCCCAGATACTCCATAAGTGGATCTTGATTTATATTATCGAAGGGAGACATGCTCACACATAACTTCAAAATAAATTTAAATATAGTCGTTGTTTCGGCATTTTTAGTTCTTGAAAAAGCAAATGCAGGTGTTTGGTGTTATGGAAGCAAACGTTGCAAAAAGCCACTTTCTCATGTGCCTTTTCCAACCCTAAGGCAACCGCTTGAACATCCTTGGCCAAGTTTTTGCTCAGACTGAAGGACTTTTATATGTGTGGTCCCAGAAAACATCTGTGCACATCACATCTGCCCTGCACATGTGACTGCTTACAGCTGTGTTAACACATTCAGATCACTTGGTATTTGTATTGTAATGTGGATCATAAAACACTGCTAATGTTAAGGACAGGGCACCTTTTGAAAGCTGGGACACTTTTAGTGTAGCTCTTCACAGATAACGGGGGGGACAGAGCCACAGTGTATTAATATGATCTCATCTGAAATTCAGAGCTTAAATTCATTAAGACCTCTCACCTTGGGCGTTACCTGTTCATGCTCAGTATTGTGCTGTTTATGGAGGGGACATGTTTGGAAATTGAATTGAAGCCATACTGATAGGATTTATGTAGTGTTTCTTTATAAAAATGTTAAAACTATTCTGTGAAAAATTGAGTACATTGAAGGAAGATGTTAAATTAGATACTTGCGATCTTTTAAATTGAAAATGGAATTGGAGTCTAGTTACTACAGTTGGAAGATACGGTTTGCTCTATTAAATCTGCATTACTGACTACATTGCTGCCAGCTTCTTTTTACCTGTGTTGTCTTTTTTTTAAAAATGAGACTGGATAGTTCCTTTATGGATAAAGGTACAAGGTGAATTAGGAGAAAACGTTGAGGAAGAGTACTGTCTTCACTGACAAATGGTAAGGGTCTGCAGAACTGGCAGACTATAAATAATGCAAACTATGAGACGCTAAAGTGACTGGAGAACTCATCTAAACTGCAAATGAGGAATATATGGAGAAGGTTATAATTCATATTTTATTGATTGGATTTGGGCTATACTTTTAGCTGTAGTAGTTGTGAAATGGTGATCTTCAAAACTGGTGGAACATTAGCCAAGTTTCTACTAGTTGCCAATGAACTCCAGGATTAAGGCTTGGTAACCAAGTTGATGGATCAGGGAAGGAAAAGAAACCAGGATGGACACTTTTCCGCCATCGTGAATGTGCCAGTTGCCTTCTTTCCATAATCATCCTTGCCAGATGTGCTTTGTCATGTCCTCTGAACCCAGCCTGGTTTCTAATCCATCCTGGAATCCTAGAACAAGCCATCGGTTGTGGGATGGTCTGGGAATCACTGATGGATTGGATGGTACGGCATCCCACAGGGACGGAAGCCATCGAAGCTCTTTTCCTTCCCCAAACGTGTGCTGCATTTGAATTCTAGTCCAGGTTTAGTATCCTAACTTGTAAAATTGCAATTGTACTGTGACAAGGATTGTGGAACGGGTATCAGGCCATCGAATGGTCACCTGGGAACGTCCTGAAAGGAACTGAATTCATATACAAAAGAGAGAGCAGGCATCTCTTGAAAGTAACAAATGCCAGAACTAGTTTCCAGCTACAATGAAGCATACCACCAGACTGAAGTTGGGTGGCATGTTCAAGTATGAATGCAAAGAGAAAGTGGTTTTCGTACAAAATTGAATGCCAACACTTTGCAATGCACTATGGACTTCAGCACTGCCAGGGAAAATTAATGGAAGTGCTGCTTTTTAAGAAATGCACATTATTTGACACACTGAAATAACCTACCAAATTTTCTGTTCTTTTAGAGAAGACGCAAGTACAATCTGTGCTAACCAAACTATTCTTGCCAGATCTTACACAGTAATAGGTGATTTGCAGATTTATGTGCTAAAACCTTGAACTGCAAAAGAAATAGCTATTAAGTGCCTGTCTCCAAAATCTTTATATTAGTTATACAATACACACACTTGTGAAACAAGCAGCCTCAAGCAACTTGCAAAATGCTGATTGACTTGATTTTATTCAACTATGATCAATCAGAAGTATGCCAAATCACAATTGAAATAGTGTAACATTTAATATGTAATTCTATAGTAATAAACCTCAACACAAATAATTTTGGAGATAATTTGCTTCCCTGCAGAGTTCAGTATTCTTACCAAAAATAAAGCCTTCCACCTGCATAGAAGTTGCCACTGGAAAATTCAGAGCTTTAGCTATGAAACAAAGGGTTAAAATGCACTTCAGACTTAAGCAAAATAAGCTACAAAAATGATAAGTTTAGGTGTCTTACCTAAACTCTCGCTTGGCTATGTCTTGCCCACTAGTTGGGATGGAAGAGAGAAGGATATAAATATCCGAAATCTCTAGTTCAGGTAGTGGGAATTCAGTATGCATCTTAAAGCATGATATTTTCTGGGTAGCTGTCACTCTAGGTTTGGTTCTAATAGCATGCAAGTAGTGAATTTATGGCAGAAGCAATCCTCAGTTTATTCTATTTATATCCTGCCCTCTTTATGAATTCCATGGTGGATAATAATTAAAACAATAAAATACAATAAATGATACCAAAATGAAATACAGTGCATCTAATAATACCACTAGCTATCAGCTGGGAGAAGTGCACAATGGAGAATTGGTACCCACTCATAAAAAACTGAATAAATAGATTTTAGCCTGGTGCCAACATGCTAGAAAAGTTGGCAGCAGGTGCGCATATCTGTTGGGGCAGGAGGGTAGTCCAGAGCCAAAAAAAAAAAAAAATTATTTGGTTAATTCCACATAGTTTATCACATCTCATCCTGAGCATCTCCTGCACAAGACCTGACGCCTAGCCACATTCGCCCCCTCCTTATTCCGCTCAGCATAATTATTTCTTCACAGGCCACAAACCACCTCAAATAAATTCTATTCTCTTGACTAATTTATCCTGCCCTTCTAGGATGGCCACATATCCTACCTTACAAAGGACAGTTCTCTGATTGAAGGATTATCCAATCCGAGCCATATATAACAAACCATAAGTGAAAGCTGGTGGCTAGGAAGCTAACCAGTATCTGTTGGCATCTGGGTAGCCCTTTTGCTAATTTTCTTCAATGTAAAACAAATTTTTGATAAGGCTTTCTTTATCCAGACGTTATCAGCAGTGGCAGACAGAGCAAAGTGGTGGTTTTTTTCCTCCATTGCATAGTACATGGTACGAAACTTACAGGGTGATCTTGGGCCTGTTACTGTTCTCAACATGTCCTACATCATAATGCCATTGTGAGATCATTGGCTGTCTTGCAAGAAGAAGAAAATATTGACGTGAGATGTAATACTTTTGGAGTGCTGGTAGACAGGCAAAACTGGTGTTTTTGTTTTGCAGCTTGCCCCCAAAACTAAGAAGAAAGCCTTCAACATGTGTCTTGAAAAAAGCAACCAGTCTGGCAGGTTGACTAGTCCACAAACAGGAGTCATCTGGGGGGATGCCTTGGCCAGAGATGGGAGATGCAACAATGTTTTGTGAAAGTTTCTCCTAGTGAAAGGGATGGTGGTTGAAATGCTTGAGTGTACTTTGGGATTGTATCCTTAAATCCTATTATCACGTCATATTCCTGTTAAAGGTGCCACAAATTCGTAACTTCATTTTTGTGAAAATAGACCTGTAGGTCAGAGCATGTGTGAATTTCAATTAGTTGAAAATCAGACTCTAAAAAGTGTGTGTGTGTTTGTTCCTATTGTTAGTTGTTTTGGATCTGAGTGTTTGTTTAAGCAACTGTGAAAACTCAGAAACAACCTCAGACATCTTGCCATTTTCATTATTTTATTTTATTCGCATGGAGTTTAACAGAAACCTCTCATTGTTTGGCATGACAACGCAGCTCAAAGCCTAGCAACGCACTTCCACAAAATAGTTTATCCTTATTCGTCGCTGAGTTCTGCTGTCATTTTTAGAAAGCATGGGTTCTCTTCTCCCTTCTCCCACGCCCATCCCTTCTTTGCTGCTTCAACCAGACTGAACCAGAAAACGGTCCCAGTCCATCCCACATCAGCCAGAAGTGCTAGTAGAACAGAGTTTAAAATCAAGGGGAAGAGCCTTAAGTGGGGGGGGGGAGCCTCAAACAGCACTGTTAAAAGGGGTGTAGTGATTGTCATTGTGAGTGCAATAGGGCAGCAAAAGGTTAGTCCTACCCTCTTTGTGCAGTGGGGGATTAAGACAATACAAAGGGACAAGTTCCAGGGCAGATAAACACTTAAGTCTATCTAAGACTCCCTCCAAAGGACAGGGACAACAATACTTCCAAGGTGAAGCAAGACTCACAACAGGGACTTCTGTTCAGATCAGGAATCCCATCTATAATGTTTAAAGCTGCTCTTAACAGTGCCAGGCTTTTAGCAGCCCCACGGCTGCAAAATTGTGCTCGTTCTGTCTTGACACTTCCTCGGCTTAATTTTGCAGCAGCAACCCTGACCGTACCTTCAACTGAGCCCAGAAGGTCCGTGTTATCAGACCAGTTCCAAGCCCTGAACAGCTTAGGACAAGTTTATTCAGGGGGCCAGCCTTCTGTCCTGCGATGAGTCTGCCCAAGGCCTGAGATCACCCGGAAAAGCCCTGTTGACAACATCACGACTTGTAGATACACACATCAGGGGTTTCTCTTGTGTTGCTCCCAACGGGTGGAACACCCTCTCCTACAAACTGTGGTGGACCAAAACTCTCTTGGTTTTTAGAGGACCCTTTTAAAACATCCAGCCTGTTAAGTTACGCAATTGCCATGTTTCGCAGGCCTGTGCACTCGTGCCGGTGCTTCACACTGAAAATTCCTGTGTGTGCAAATACACGGGGGCCTCCGGTGCCCAGGGAGAGCGAGTGTGCCTCTCGGGCTGCAGCCACAGGAAACATCAAACGCTGCACAAGACGCCTTGGCTTCCTTGGCCCAAGGGCCCTGCCTGCTCCTTGCCTCCCTGCTCCTGCGCCTGCGGCTGGCGCTGGAGACGTTCCCCGCAAAGGGCTCTTGGCACCCACGGGCCCCTTCGGAGCACCCTCCCCACCGCAAGGGGAACTCCCAAACTTCAGCAGGAAAAGCGCCTCCCTCCGGACACGTGGGTGCCTCCCCTCCCCACCCAGGGGTCTCTCTCTGTCTCTGTCTCTTCCATGGCTCGCCCTGCGCCCGATCCTGCCAGAGGGCAGCGCGCAGCGGGCGCGTGACGCGCCAGGCTGGCCCCGCGAAGGACGGCGGCTCCGGGGCCGCCCCCGCGGGCGTGCGCGAAGGGGCAACGCGGGGCAGCGGCGAGGGGGAAGCGCGCCCCGCGGGCGGCGAGGCGCAGGACGCGGCGCCGGCTCCCCAGGCGCCTCGCCGGGCGGGCTCCGCCGTTCGCGCGCGGCGCTACCTTAAGGGTCTTGTTGACATCAGCCGAATGGGCCGGCCCGTGTGGGTGGGATTTCCTGTGCTGGCGGGGTCAGCTGTTCTCGGTCCCTCTTCTGCTCTCACTCCCCCCTTCTGCCTCATTCCCTCTTTTTTTCCTCCCCCTTCCCCCTCCCCTGCCTGGTCTCCGCATTGCAAGCGCTTCACCTCGGGGTTTTTCCCCTCTCCCCCCTCTGCGCGCTCTGGCTGTTCGGTGCCTCTTGGACTATCTCGATTATTCTTAGTGATGTGTAAACTACAGAATGCCCAGCAGCACTGGAAAGAGATTTAAGCCTACGAAATACATCCCCGTCTCCACAGCAGCCGCGTTACTAGTGGGATCCACCACTTTGTTCTTCGTTTTCACGTAAGGAATTTTCCCAGGGGGCGGCCGTGGGTCTGGGGGGCGAGGGAGAGGGGCAGCCGGGCCTGGCTGGCGGGTTGCTATGGGGGAAGCGCAGAGACACCGGAGGCGAGGCCCGCGGCGCCGCGGATGCTCGGAGGTGCACAACAAGCGCCGCGCTGCCCTCCTCCTCCTCCTCCTCCTCCTCACTTGGCGGGGACGTTCTGGTCGCGGCTGTCGCCTGTCGCGTCCTCCGGCGTGGAAGGAGCCACCATTGCATGGCAGATCCGTCCGGGCAGACTTTGCTGCTGCCTGCGCGCACCCAAGGCGCCAATTAAATGCCCCCCCCCCCTCCCCCCCCCCCCCCCCCCCCACTCACTGTGCAGAGGAGAAAAGACAAAGCGGGGGACGGTCTGTGTTTGACTGAGCGACGTATGGGGGGAGCGCAAAGGTTTGCTGCATTTCTGCCTGGGGACCATGGCTCCGTTCGCGTGGCCAGATCGTTCCTTTCCTTTCCGTTCCCTTCCTTTCCTAGCAAGCTGTGCGAGCGAAGGACTGGGCTCTTGGGTGTTTTTGTTGTGCAGCGAATAGGTTGGGTGCTCGGGTAGGCTTGCTCGGGCTGACTGGCCAAAAAGGAAAGGGGAAAAAAGGTGTTTGCAGCTCAGGTCAGCATGATCGAGCGTTTCACAGGGCTGGAAACTCCAGGATTGGATGCTACGCCTCGCCTCGGGCTCCTCTCCTCCTCGGAATCAGGATTCTTAAGGCTGTTGCCTCCCTGGTCAGCCGGAAGGGTCCAGCTTGTGTCTCCAGGATGGACGTGTGCATAGGAGTATCTTGCAGCTGTTTGGTCGGTTTTGCAAAAAAGCCCTTTCCATCCCTGCTGTAAACTTGAACCCGGAATCCCTAAGGGATTTCAGAAATAATCTTGACGTGTGCAGGAACTTTAAGGCCAGCAAGAGCACAGCTCTTCACTCTGATCCCTTTAGCTTCTAATTCTTCTAATGGCAGGATATTCAAATGGCCTTACTAAGGCGATATTCGGGGTTTGAGGGAGGACGGAGCGAGAAACATTCCATCTTTGCTCTTAACCCATTTTCATTTTTACGTGAGGTAAACCGAACAGAGTGCATGGGATGTGCATCTCGGCTCTGTGCACCGTTGATTCAGCTTTACTTTGATTGCGACTGGATCTTGCTGGCTCAGTCACCACCTATGTAGGCTTCTAATGTCCTTGGAACCGTTATAACTCGATGCTCAAATGGGTTGTTGACAGGAGAGAGAAATGGTGCTTCTGTTGTTGAGGGTTTTTCTTCTTATTCTTATTATTTTGGTATCGTGTCTGGCCTTGATTTGCTATATATGGCACTTATTGAAAGAAAACTCCCCCTGCACAATGCAGGCTTTACTTTCCAGATGAGATACTCACTTATCTACTGGCCCTTGAAGATTTGCTGTCCTCTTCCATTTTTCCATCTGCTCTCATTTTGCAGACTTGCCTTCCTCTCATCAGAGGCAATGCAGACATGCTTAACCATGACCCAAAGCCATTAGGAAAGCCAGCCTTTGCAAGGCTTCGCTCCATTATATTAAGATGATATTCCAAGAGTGAGAGATACCTGAAGGCCCTTGTAGTCCCTTATGAGACTGCCTCTGTGCTGCACTAGCGGGACAGTCCCCTTTCTCGAGAAGCGAGTTGGGTGAGGGCTGGAAGCAGGGCCTTCTGTTCAGTGGCTTCTTGGCTGCAGAATGCACTCCCAGGGGTATTCTACTGGCATGGATTTAACTGCTTTTGGCAATAGGCAAAGGTGTTTTGCATTAAGGAATAACATTATTTCTGCTGCTTCTTGTATTGTACTATCTTTATTTTTGATATGTCACCTTCAGTGTTTATTTGAATTGGTGTTTGTTATCAATTTGCTTTACATCGTTCATGTGAATTTCCCTGGAAGTTTTGGCTGAAAGGCAACCAGAAGAAATCTTGCAATTAAATAAAAATAGACATAGATTTATTTCAAGAAGACCTGTGATCCAGAAACTTGAATAACAGTGATTTTGAAGTGGCATATAAATCTGGGTTGAGACACTTGTTTGCCACTTGGACTAGAAGAGTCCTTTCTGTTCAAACTACCTCCTCTGTTTCAATAGCTTGGTTTGTACATCATACCAACCCAAGGTATGGACTGTTGCTTACTGGATGTTTGTGATGTGTTTTGGGTGAAGCTGTGACTGTGTGGTAGAGCATATTCTTTGTAAACAGAAGGATCCAGAGTCAATCTGCAGCTTTTTCCTAGTAGGTCTAGGAAATGCTCCTGTCTCAAACCCTAGAAAGTGGCTGCCAGTCGGTGTTGACGGTACTGGCCAACGAGGATCAATGCTTTGACTCCGCTTCCTGCATCTCTGTGTAAATGTGACCACACTAAGAAATGGTGCTTTCTTAACCATGAACATCTCAGAAAGAAAATGCCATGAGTTGCTGTTGGATTGTGAACTCTGGGCTGTTTAAACCATAGATGGATGTTATGTGTCCCTCCAAGGCCGTGGGTTGTTTGGCCAGAGTGCAGAACACAAAAGTCCACCCACTTGGCATGTCAGTACTACCAACTCTGCTAGAGCAGTGGGGATACAGGGAAGGGAATGAACAGCCCAGGGAAGGATAACACAAGCCATGGTTTGTTCTGTTGATTTGGCAAACCATGCTTTGTTTGATCATAATCTGGCTCTAACATAGGTTAGAGCTACATATGAACCAGGCCATATCTGGCTTTGTTTGCCTTCCCACTGCACAGTTGTCTTTTCACAGCCACGAGTACTGTTCAGACATGCATATCTAGTGGTTTTAAGTTACAAGAGGGTAGGGTTCAGCAGGATACTAGCAGAAACAGCCTGGTGGCGGCAGCTTAGTAGTGGGGGGGGGGGGACTCTGGAATTCCTGCATTCAGACCTGTGAGGAGGTGGACATGGCCTCTTCCAGCAGCAGCCAATCTCCAAATGGCCGATGGTGTTTGGTGAACACCAAACAAGGTTTTGATGAACTTCAGACACGCAAAGTTTCAAGCAGCGTTCAGGTGCCCTCCCCTTGTTCTGGACTTCAGCTCCTGGCTGTGTAACCAACATGGCCAATGCTCAAAGATTCTGAGATTTGTAGTCCAAAATATGTGGAGGAGAAGAGGTGGACAGCTACAGCGGTAACTCACCCGCCAAGCACTTGTTGGTTGTGTGAATGAGTCTTGAAATAGATGAACTTCCAAAGCAGGTATGTCAACCCTCTTTCAGCCAGAGGACTAAATTCCATTTTGGAGAATCGGAAACCTCATTCCAGTGATGGGTGGGAGAGCAGCCAAAGAAGGCACGGTCAACATAACAACAACATCATCAAGTCTTAGCTTAAGCTCTAAATAGTATTACTCTTGCTAGTCATTAGGCCTTGGGAGAAGTATTTCAATATGGCAGTGTTGCTTTTTAGAAAGGCAGTAACTTGCATGATTTGGGGGAGGATCAATCTTGAAATTTGTACAAATCGCCTGGCAATAATTTTTCAAGAAATATTGTGGTCTTTTTGCATATGACTCTCAAATCTACTCAGCTCCTTGGAGCTCTAGAGGGGCCTATTCCCCTTTTGTAAACATCCTTGCGAGTTTCATCCTTTTAGTAAATGACTTCATTTAGTCCAGGAGAACCAGCTCCCAAGCTTGTCCATGAACTTCTCTAGGGTGCTGAGAGAGCCAGTGTGGTGTAGCTGAACTGGAACTGGGAGAGGCAGGCTCTGGTTCTCACTAAGCCATGAAGCTCACAGGGTCCTTTTGGCCCAGCCAAACCTCCCTCACAGGGTTATTGTGAGCATAAAATAGGGTGGAGGATTATGTAAGCCACACTGGGGTCCCATGTAGGAAAAATGTTGGATATAAATATAGAGAGTCCTATAGGCTATGGGCCATACCCCTGCCTTTGCCATATTCCTAACTATCCTCCTTATTAGTTTGATGCTTTGGTGAGAAGGAAAGCTGCACTATGAGGCCTAGTCGAAATTGCAAACTTGCAGGCGGGGAAATAGTGAAGCATCTCGTGGCCGTTCTCTGGTCTTGCATGGCCCTCCAGAGGCTGTTCTCCTAGTGTCTTCATTCGTCATTGGATGTTACCTGGATCTCTTCCATGCAAAGAAGTTGCACCCCATTCTCCCTGTTTGCTTCTGCAGTGTTAATTAAAAGCTCCCTGCTGTGCACATTGTGCCCATGCCTAACGTTTAGAAGAACCGTAATTGGAAAATGAAGGGCCGCCAGTGTAAGGAGACAGTGACCTATCCCCTTGCTTCCGGTTACTGTCTGCTTGCAGATGCCAGGGTGTGGAGGTGAGAAAGAGGAGAGGGTTGTGGCTAAGAGATTGACTTGTTTAAGGCTACCTGGAGAGGTTGTGGCAGAGTTTGTGCGATAACGGATGCAAGTGCATTTTGGTTGGTCTATCAGGCTGGCTAGTGGACAGAACCTGCCATTTTCCCCTGTGCCAAGAGCATGTCTTGATTGAGATATTGCTGGACAAATGGATGAAAACATAGATAGCTTAAACTATAGCCTGATCCAAACCGTTCTATCCAATTCACCATCTTTTTAACTGGAGAAGTTTTGATGGTTTTTCTGCAGTGGGGTGAAACATTATTTCAGGGTAGGGAAAGGGATACTTAGAGGCTTCCATGGGGTGGAAGCTGAAAACTCATTTGCTTGTCAATTGCATGTACAGCAGTGTAAAAAGAAAACCTAGTAAGAATTGAACAAAAGAGAAAATGCATTCAACATACCATTAGCAAGGAGAGCTGACACACACGTACTGAGCCAGTCTTGTATTGAAAAGCTTACCTGGCAGCCGTAGGAACTCACTGCAGGTGCATTCATGGAATTCCCTGAGGATTCGTGGTGGGTGTTCCTTCCTCCACCAGCTCCCTACTTAGTAGGTTGGAAGTCAGAGTTTGCCTGGAGCCCTGGAGTGGAGTCCGTATAGGGTATCTAGGGTTGAACCTCAGGCCCAACAACCCT